TCAAATACTCCATGGACGCCGGTCGGCGATGGATTCGTGACTTGTATGCTTCTCACAGGTTGCCTTGCATTCACCAGTGTTCCCCGGGGATCATATCGCATCCGTCCAGTGGTATAAATAGCCAGACTAATGGGGTCTACACTTCGCTTGATGAAGTTTCAGGCTGTTTTAGCGGGCCTGGGTCTGCTACCGGCTGAATTCGTCGACGCCTCGTCGCTACCTGGATCGTCGTCTTATGTCGCCCAGCCTGGCTTCCCGACGAGTATTTTCTCGTGAGTAACCAGTGGACTTGGGGTGGGTTTTGGCTGTAAGTGGTCACTAATACTATAGTGCAGGTCCTACCACTACCTTCCGGCAAAACCCACTCAGCAGCCCCAGCCTGCTATCTATGATCCGGTGTTGAACATTACATTTCCTCATAACTTGACAAACCCCGACACCATCCCAGAGGAGAATAATGATCCCGTGGTCTTCCCGAAGGCGCTCCAGAGACTATCTAAGCACCAACAGGAAGTGCTGCTTCAGAGAACGCTAGCCAATGTGACGAGCATTCTCAATGGCAGCGGAAACGCAGACAGCTGCAGCAGATGCAAGGCAGCGCTATCTGCTGCCAAGCCGGCTGCTCTGTATGCCCCTAAACTGGTCCCCGATGCCATGGCCTCTTTGTGCAAGAGGTTCCAGTTCAAATCGGACGAGGAATGCGAGTATGAATATACCGAAACCGCTTTCGGCGTTCCCTGGGCACAGGTGCTGTACTATGCAGATGTTGAGGGCTCGGATGGGGACTACATCTGCTATTATCTGAACAGCGAGGTTTGCAGTCAGCCGCAAATCCGCCTGGACACGACCAATCTGTTCCCGAAGCCCAAGCCGTCGGACACCAGTGTACCGCAGGCTAGTGGCGAGCGGATCAAGGTCCTGCATCTGTCCGATATTCACCTTGACCCGCGGTATTCCGTGGGTGCCGAGGCAAACTGCACGTCCGGGATGTGCTGTCGGACCAACCTTCACAACGCTGAATTCGAGGATCAGGTGGTTCTGCCTGCTCCGGTCTATGGTGCGTACAAGTGTGACACGCCATATGACCTGACGTTGGCTGCCCTGGAAGCGCTTGCCCCTTTGACTGGGACCGGCAAGGGCAAGGACCAGTTGGCTTTCACTTTGTACACGGGAGATTTAGTTTCGCATGACAACCCCGCTGTCCAGGTGGACAGGGCGTATACCGAGTATACAGAAACGAGCGTATTTGGTATGCTCAAATCGTACCTCACAGGGCCGGTTTTTGCGGCCTTGGGCAACCATGATACGAGTCCTGAGAACCTCGACCCATCTCATAAGCTCCCGGGTCCGCTGGGCCAGCAGAACAGCTGGAACTATGAACATTTAGCGGGTCTATGGCAGCATGGCGGGTGGATCAATGAAAAGACTGCCGCGGAGGCCAGTACACACTATGGTGGTTATTCGGTCAAGACGCACTACGGCTTGCGTGTGATTGCTTTCAACACAGGTATGTGCATACGACCATCTTTTCAAAGTCAGCCACTGACATGTTTTGTTTAGACTTCTGGTATCGAAGCAACTTCTTTAACTTCATTAACACCACGCAGCCCGATAACTCGGGTGTATTCTCCTGGATGATCTCCGAACTTCAAAAAGCCGAAGAAAACCGCGAGCGAGTCTGGATTATCGGCCACGTACCCTCGGGCTGGGATGGGTCGAATCCTCTCCCTAACCCCACAGATCTCTTCTACCAGATAGTGGATCGCTACTCGCCGCACGTCATTGCCAACATTTTCTACGGCCACACCCACGAGGACGAATTCATGATCTACTATTCGAACAACGGCACCGAGCAGAACACCGACACCGCTCTAACGACCGGTTGGATCGGACCAAGCATAACACCATTGACGAACTTGAACAGCGGGTTCCGGATGTACGAAGTGGACACCGGAGACTTCAACGTTTACGAAGCGTATACGTTCTTCAGCAACGTGTCGGATTTTCCCTCTCTCGACAAGACCGGCCCCGTATATCGCTTTGAATACTCCACCAGAGACACATACGGACCTGCCGCGGGATGGGGTAAGAATGACCCGTTGAACGCGACGTTCTGGCACCAGGTCACCGAGGCGATGGAGGACGACGGGGAACTGGTCACCTTGCAGAATAGACTGCAGGGCCGACTGAGCATCAAGAGTCCTGAATGTACCACCGACGCGTGTCGGGAGGCCAAGATCTGTTATATGAGGAGTGGTAGCGCCGCGCTTGGTAGACAATGTATACAAGGGTAAGTTGGCTTATTGACCTATTTGAAAAATGACTGTGCTAACCCTTAACCAGATACGGGTCGGTACAGAGCCCGTTCAAGCCATAGATATTGATGGCTTACCACTAAGTGTATAGGACATGCTCTGATTATCGCATGGGGAGTTGTTTGAATCCAATCGACACAGCTTGTCAGGATTGAATGTGTTGGCTTACTTATGAGCCATGGTGTATCTCATATAGCATAGCGGTAATGAGCGTTGAATCGAGGTTGTAGCATACTGAGTGAGCTTCTAGACTCTTGTTCCTGTTTCATGAAGAGGGAAAGTACTGTACTTCTCTGAACCAAGCCACCAGCGCTTAAGTAGGCTGCCATTGCCATTAGGCCTTGTCCATGACCCCTTGTTGCACAGACCATATTGGAATGGCATCATGGATCCTGTTCAAGGAATTCGAAGCCAATGTCAGCGGATAACTGGGCCCAAAGACCCGTAATACTCCACTCCACTGCATCGACTGCACAGAGGGCAGAGGGCATAAACACACATCATAACCAAGTCCAGACACAGAGTCTGCCAGGACGGTGCCAGGTCAGCAGGGGATCCAAAGAGGGTCGAACGAATGCACTTCGAGTCGAATCCATGGATCTGAAGAAGCGCCGGGAGAGCCAATCACCGAGGCTACTGGGGGGTTCGCGGTTGCAGTCGGTGACGGCATCAACGTTTCATGCCGGATGATGGCGGGACGAGTGGTTGTCGTAAGGCCGTTGCCTGCATTAGCCTGTTGTTTGATCTCTGCCGAGACGTTTGACGGGGAAATGGACTGAGGTGGTGGCTATTTTTGTGCTGTCTAGGCTGCAGAGCGGTATAGGTAGTGGATGAGCTGTCGCCGATCAGACTCTTAGACAGAGAGAAAAAGAGAAGACTCCCATACTACTAACTGGATTCCCCTTTGCGAGAACTCTATGACAACGAAAGTATCTGCCATTTCTTAGAAATCCCGAGCAAGTGAGTGAGTGGTGATTTCATGATTCGCATGACGTCGTAGTGGCCCGGCCGCATATCGTCATCGCCCGCCCTCCGATCTCTCCGCGCTTTAAAACATCAAACCGACCGTTCATCCCTGCATTCCTTGTCGGTTCACAACTCCGCTGGATCTTCTCATCAGAGCGCTCGAGACTTTCCTCCCAGATCGCTGTCAGTTTTCGGTATCTGTATCGCGAACAACCCCATCACACCCCTATCATCCGTCGCATAATTCGCCGATCGAACGCCCGTTGAAGTCGTCGCAATGGCTATGAAAGGTATCGCGGTTGGCCTGCGGCTGTGGGAGGTGAGTAGCGCGTCTTTGCTTTGACGATGGTGATGAAGACGATGATGATGGCCATGAGCCAAAGGAGATGGATGGCTAACTATGATTTCTCTGCGAACAGTTCCTCTGGACTCTCCTCGTCATGGCCCTGATCGGTAACCTGATCAACGAATCCTTCGCCGGAAACCCTGCCACGATCAACTACACCATGTTCGTGTCGGCGTTCTCCATGTTTACGCTGCTCTACTTGACCCCGGCCACGTTCAATCCCGACTGGGCCATCCACCCCATCCTCATGATCGTCCTGGATACCCTGAACGCCATCTTCTTCCTCACGTCGGGCATCGCGCTGGCGGCCAAGCTGCAATCCCACAGCTGCAGCAACACTGTATGTCCTTGCAATGCATTTTCAAAACCCACTCCCTCTTCTTGGACATTAGACATAAAATTGTTCGGCGGCGACGGTCACGTTGCCTTGATCGATGATCTGATCAAGACCCACCGAGATCCACTGGCTAATCGTCGATCACTTACCTAGGCCTACACCCTCAGCAACGAGATCACTAACGGCTCGGTCCACCGCGAGAAGCGCTGCCGCGAGGCCCAGGCATCGACTGCTTTCCTGTGGTTCGCGTGGGCTGGGTACACGGTCTCCATGGTCATGTCGTTCATGGCCTCCCGCCGAAGTGGTGTCAACCTTCGTGGACGTACTGGCCCTGCCCGCGGTGCTCGTCCCAGCATGGCCCAGGTTTAAGAGTGTACATCACTTGGTATGGATCTTTCGATGTGTTATTCTAGGGTCATTTACTAACATCGATTGTACAGAGTGGTGTGTTGGCGAAATGCGCTCTCTGTCCTGTATTCCGACCGCGGACACGAGTTCATCATAATCGAGCGAATATCGACAACACACTCTCGTCATCCCAATTGGCATCTAATCCTATAATACCTTCTTAATGCGGTGTCAATTGCAGAAATATCACCGAGCGATCGGATCACACTCATTCTATAATTTGTTATTTTCATTTCTTAATACGGGGAAGAGTGCGATGATAACGACGTGATCTACTTATTATCAACGGCTAATGTCATTTTAACTAACGATGGTTGGAGTTTGTAAGACCGTCAGTGTGACAATAATGGGAAGAAAACGGATGGGAAAAGGTCGGATGATGGGTTGGATTATAGGAGAAGTTGGAGTTTTGTGTGTATTTGTTCTCCTGTACGTCTAGTGATGTAATCTGGAATTTATCTTACTGTTGGATTGTACAATGTTTTCTATACACGGTGAATTTGTAGGTTATGCATGTATGTGATTAGGCTATAGCTGCATGCGACTAATCTATCCCATCATCGCCTCTTTCCTCTGCTTTTTATCATCACTCCATCCAAAATGTCAGTCACCCTCTGATAGGTAACCATCAAATCATATTCCTAATCAAATCAGCACTCTTCGGCCTCACATGCACAACACCAGTCGTGCGAACTCTCTCATTCTCTCGTCCAAAATACCTTCCAGACCGAAAGCTAACAAAAATAGCATGCATCAGCATCGAACATAAAACCTCGGTACAGATTTTCCATCTTAACCTACCTCCAATGCAAATTCGCCTGCACAACATTCTGCACACCCCGTATATACCCCTGAATTGGTGCGTCTACTGCCTCACCCCAACTTGGCAATTCGGCCAGTGCGAGATACCAGTCCCGGTAGCAGCTGGTTAGCATCTCACCAATGTGGTCGAAGGCTGCTTGTGCGGACATGCCGGATTGGCGACATATGGCGACTACGTTGTGGGTGACGTCTTCTTTCTAGAGGGGATAGTGTTAAGGGTTTGCTGTGTTGGTGGTGATGACAATGGTGGGCTGGTTGGATTCTTACCTCTTCCTTGCAGTAAGAAAGGAGGTCGTTTTGTCTGTCGTTTTGGTTAAGGTACTGATACGACATGGCTTGACATGATAGGAACAGAGCCTAAGGCCTTACTTACAAAAGTACTAGATCAATGCCGATCCGTTCGATTTCCCGAATACTACTTGTTGAGAATACCGCGTCTGGGATGTCGAGCTGGTGCGCGTACCTGTGACACAAAGAAATCCGTCAATCCCATCAGTCAACGATGTTGGTGTCAGCTTCTTGAACATACTCAATAAGAGCAAAGAGTGGCGCAACGCCCGCTGACTTCCTGCGCAGATCGAGCATCTCCTCGAGTGTGGGGATCTGTCCCTTGGAGCGACTATACACTTGCTCTAGAGTTCCGGCGCAGTAGTTCTGCATCGCACTTGCGAATCGCCGTTGAACGCCTTCGTTGTCTTTGGGTCAGAGTTGTTTTATCGGGTGCAGATGTAACTGTACCTTCTGGTGAGTCCTATGATAGACTGTTAGCGAAATCCCGTCGATAGGGGCTGCGGAGTACCTACTTTCACAATGCGATCCCACACCGACGTGTGGACTGCGACGAGAGGATCCTCGGTGTTGTTCTGCAGACATTCGCCATGGTCTTCCATAGGAGCCAGAAGTCTATTTATCAACTCTTGGGCGCGCTCAGGATCATCTTTTAATCCACCGTTGTCGAATTCTAGGATGTAGTCAGTTGACGAAAGTGTATGTACTTCTAAACCAAGGGACTTACGATCATCAAAAGGGAACACCTGGTTATGAAGAGATTGCCAAGGTTAGTGTGACCTTGAACACAACTGAGATGGGCTAACTTACCCAGTTTCCCCAGTCACAAACAGTTCGAAGTCTTTCAGGCGAGGCATGTGGCGCTGAAATGGAGCAGAAGTATGAGAAATCAGTCTTGGATAGAATCTTCCAGGACCTCCCATTGAACAAGCATTTGCTGATAAATAATTATCAGTTGATCAAGTTATGTTTTCCCAATGCACTGCAAGACTAACTTTGCCATCCATGTTTCCGAATCTTTTCTTATCGTCTCATAGAATGGATTGACTGCTGGGCTTTCCGACAGGAACAGCACGAACATGTTTGGAAGACGCACGGGGATATGCCGCATTTGGAGCAGCGTCTTTCCGGTCGGTAGCAGTTGATTCTTGACGATTTCAATGATTGCCATGATGAATGTCCTCGCGAACTCTAGAGTGATTCTATACGAAGCTGATAAGTCAAACAGCGTTTTGATATCACAGAAGAAAGTCTGGAGAGGGTATGGAAATCATATAGACATTATATAAATGCATTATGATTGTAGAAGTTTTCTATGCCAGGGGTAGGCTGCAGAAGTGGTCAAAAACGATTAAATGATTGGATTGCTTGATCAACTAACTAGGGGTCAGAATAGGCCCTTTTATTATTTATTTTACGTGATTTTCATGGCTGATATTAAGGAATCTTCCGCTTTACTCTCATGAAATCCTCCGCTTAGTGCGATATCTTCGGAACTTGCGTTTAGCGAAGGTTTGGCGGATTGCCTGAAGCATCTAGATCTTTCACAATGATCGCCAAGATCTGGCATTGCCCACTGACTGGGGTTATATAGGACTGCTGAGGGGACATTATGCCTAGACACGAAGCACTATATAATGGTCATAGCTAATCATATCAGAAAAGGACATAACATCTTAGACGCTGCTCGGAAGCCCAGACTACCATGAACTATACTAGTGATAACAGCCCCAAACAGTACGCTAGTACACACGTCAACGAAATCCCCGGCTTACTGTCGCTTATGGTTGAATCCGCCGCTTAGGCTGAATGGGACACGCCCGCATGTACAAGGTTTACCTAAACGGGGGTTTGATCATCAATCTCGCAAGTCCCAGGGACCCATTCTCATTTGTTGTCCTAAGATGCTAGCGGTGAATTGGGTGCCGGATCTATCGGGCATCAGTCCCTGGAAACGCCACCTCTCTCGATCTCCGGGCATCAGATTGCTAATGCGCTATAGATAGGAGGCGTAGTCAATCTAAAGCGCCGTATGATCAAAGGCTCCCCTTTACGGTGTATGTGCGCGGTTGGCTCGGGGGCGCATGGGGCTAATGTCATTGTTAGCGGAGAGCTAGTGGAAATGAACGCCTGCCAAGATCAGGATCCAGATGTCTTTTGGCCCACGTTGTTTGAGTTGGGGGCCTCTCATCTTGGTCTTTGGCAGATTTTCTCGCAGGGGCTTCTCAGGACATGAACTGTCATTGGAAGACACCCTAGCAAGGCTGTTCGCGCCGCGTTGGCGTATATGATTCAAGGGAATCGATTAGTATGCAACCAGATCCCGGATGTCAGACGGACTGTCAGAATGAACTCACATAGAGGGGCAATTGAGCTCATATCTCCTTTTTTTTACCGAGATGATGTTGATTGGATTAACTGCTTCATGGCTGTAATCGCCATAGGCCTGCTTAGCATGGTGTATTTAATGGGTAGAGGAGCCTTGCGTCTCTATGTCTGATCCTCGATGTTTGCAGTCAGCCGATGAAGTTACACATCTTTCTAAACTGTTAGTACACTCACTAGAGAAGACACAATGCTCGATTCCCCTTCATCTCCCCCGAAGGCCGGCGATGTCATCAAAAAGTGCGGGTACTGCTTTACATGGACAGACGCCCACCTCTCCAAGCAAGAGATAGAGCCATTGCGCCAACAGTGGGACACTTTAGGGGAACAATCTATAGAAAGAATTCAGGCTGTAAGAGCCAATGTTGTTAGCGAGCAGAGGAAAGAGGGGACAAATCCTCCTCCTACCGATCTTTACGCTCTCCTGCGGGATCACCACCGTACCGACGAGACTCTATCCCAGTTCTGGGACGAGGTACATACGGTCCCCGACTGGGTGAACTGGGACCAGATTGCGCGAGGCCAACGGGTGTTCTATCGCTATGCCATGGCCAACATCGTGGGATTTGCCCTGCAGGGATTCATGGCTGAGAATTCGGTAAGACGGGGACACATGGCTCTGATCTACTCGTGCAGCCCTAGTCACTAAGCATACTCACCAGGCCGCCGCCGGGGTCATCGAAGTTCTCGTTCGAACAGGAGGCTTCTCTACCCGGGTCCTTCTAGGTCGACTCCTGGCCACCTTCCAATGGATGATCCAAGTCACTCATGGCCTCGCCTCCGTTCAACCAGGAGGTGAAGGCCACATCGCGACGATTCGAGTCCGACTTCTCCATTCGTCTGTTCGACATCGAATCCTAAAGCTCTGCCAAACCAATTCGGATTACTTTGATGCTGAACAACACGGTATTCCAGTCAACACACTCGACTCAATTCACTCCATCAGCACCTTCTGCTGCAATCCCTTCTTCTTACAACTGCCCCGATTTGTCATCCGACCCTCCCCAAACGAAGTGGAAGACTACATCGCCTTATTCCGCTACATCGGCCATCTACTCGGCACCCCGGTGTCGAATTTCGAAACGGTTGACCAAGCCCAGAAAACCATGGAAAGTCTCCTAGTTCATGAAGTCCACCTAACCGAGACATCCAAAATAGTATCCCACAACTTTCTAGAGTGTGTAGGGAACCTCCCTGCGCCATTCTACGTGTCGAAACCCTTCCTCTACGCCGGAAGCCGCTGGATCAATGGCCATGCGTTTTGCGATGCCTTGGACCTCGGACAGCCCGGGTTTGCTTACTACCTTGCTTTCGCGGGTTTCTGTGCCCTCGTTACGGGGCTCGCGTGGCTCCAATGGTTGATACCTGGTACGGATGACCTGATGATCAAGGTAAGTTCTATGCTCAGGAGCAAGAGCCGACCTATAGTCTAACCCAGCTCATTCTAGCTCCTCCGCACCATCATGTACCGCGGCATCGTCCAACGAAAATCTCGCAGTGGATATCCCTTCAAGTTCGTCCCACGGGTTGGTAAAATGACCGGTAAGGAAAAGCATCATGCAGATGGTAGTCGGGGATATTCCATTTCTCAATTGCGCCGCAGCCTTGCGCCGGACATGGGTCTTTTCGAAGTTTTCTTTGTCGTCGTACTGCTGGGGGCTGTTTGTGTTTTGGGAGGTGGTGTGGCGTGGGGGTATATGTGCGTGAAAGGACTGGTGGCTTGGGCTTGGGTATAGATTGTAGTTCTAGATAGGGATGGTGGGGGTTTGAGATGGCCTAGGATTCGTGTACAAATCACATTCTTGTCAGGAATAAAATAGACTCCGACATGTCTTTCGTATTTAGCAGGGAGACCGGGAATATATCGTGGTTGGTCATGAGTCTGCCCTACTATATTTGGATTGAGATGGCCGGGGTTTCATGGAATCATGGCGGGGGAAGATAAACACGAGAGGAAAAGAAACAGGAGAGAGAAAAGTAATGCTATTACTCAACAGCGTACTATCATTCTATGCCCCACTAGCGCAAGTCCCTAGATGTGACGAGGCTGCATGAACTTCTCATCGATTCCACGACGGAGCGCTGCCCAAGAACAAGCGGGGTCAACGAGAACCACCGAAGCATCCTTGCAGCGCGTTCCATGCTGATTGGGGATAGCAACGCGAGAAACCCATGCTGCTTTGGTGATCATGTATTCCGCAATGAAGAACAATCTACGATGGGCCGATTTATTTGCTATCTACTACAGTATACCATGGTCCCGGTGCCGCGTCTCGGTGGAATCCTGTAGTTCCGGCTCCTTGTCCAAGGTATTAACTGGGATAGTGAAGGGCATGCCACTCATTTGATCGACCTACTGGATGGCCGTTTGCCTAGGGGACCAGGTTGTAGTTGGATCGAGGTCTGGGTGAGTGGTTCGTCGTCGATGTTGATCGTGGGCGTGTACGATCCAAGACGGACAGATTATTTGGAGAGAGACCGTATAGTTTCTTGCTGTCCGGGGTAGGATAGCGAGGGGAGTATATCAGAGACACGTTAGTCGACCAAGAATACAATGGCATATGGCATAGAAATAAACCGCGGCTTGTACTCGTGGCTTGTAGATCCATAGCTACTCCGATGTTAGCGACTGTTGGAGGTACCATTATGGCACCACGATGAAGCTATCATGAGCAAAGTGGGGACATGGTTCTGCTCAGTGACAATGAGACGAAAATGGCATATTTATTCTGGACACCATCAAATCGCATCAATCGTACTGAATCGATTGAAAAGGGGAGAACTAAGCTTGCAGTCAGTAGTATGACGACGGTTCCGGGAACGGCTAGGGATTGTTGACTCACTGGCACGGCGCACGTGGATATCGAACTATGAACGTATTGTCTGGAAGCTTCGAGTCATTCCGAGTGCCTCATCGATCATAATCGCAGAATGCCCATGGAGGTGTGTTCCTGAGTCCTGACGAAGCGGCGGGGCAGATGCGGGCGGGCCGAGACAAAAGGAAATTGAGCAGAGCGGCGCCGCTGCTTTCTTCGACCATCCACAACACCGTCGCTTCTGTGGCCTTTTTTTTCCCTTTCCATCCCCACTTTGCCCCCCCATCATCTCGCACAATGGCAATCCAGTGAGCCTTTTCACGCTCTCAGTCCCTCTGGCAATGTGCTTACTGACTGGCCCAGCTACTTGATTCTGCTGTCCCGGCAGGGCAAAGTGGTATGTCTTCTCCCTCGTCGCCCACCCAACTTCCGAGCCGCCAGGACACTTTGGCCGGAGCTGACGGACTGACCGATTCATTCTCTTCTTCGCAGCGCCTTGCCAAATGGTTTACCACCCTCTCGCCCAAGGAGAAGGCCAAGATCATCAAGGATGTGACCCAGCTGGTTCTGTCTCGTCGCACCCGCATGTGCAACTTCCTCGAGTATAAAGGTAGGCCTCGTCACCTCCATGTCCACCAGAGTCGTGCCCCTGACCGATCCTCCTCGACAGATACCAAGGTCGTCTACCGTCGCTATGCCTCCCTTTTCTTCATCGCCGGATGCGCCTCCACCGACAACGAGTTGATCACCCTTGAGGTCGTGCATCGATACGTCGAGCAGATGGACAAGTACTACGGCAACGTGTGCGAGCTGGATATCATCTTCAACTTTCAGAAGGCATACTTTATCTTGGATGAACTCTTACTGGCAGGAGAAATGCAGGAAAGTAGCAAGAAGAATGTGCTGAGGTGCATCAGTCAACAGGACAGTCTGGAAGATATGGAGGTGAGTTGATCCCTATGCGCTTTTGTCCCGAGGTTTGGATACGTTGGCATGCATCGTTTCTTGCTACTCGACCCCCGTTTCCCCCTTTTTTTACTGTCGTCTTGTACTTTGTCCCTTACATGGTCCGGCAATATTGGGGCGGAACCCCTCTTCTCTCTTTCGGGGCTGAGGGTGTGGATGAATCCCCCAGTCGGATGCAACCTGCAACTTTTCATACTTCGGGTCGCGCACATCGTCGTGTCACAATAGAGGCTAATGTGGCTTGGACCCCAGGTTGAGGAAGATGTGGTTACGAAGCTGATGTAGCGCGCTATTACTGTCACCACCTGAGCGATTTCCTGTGTTTATATCTCTTGTTGGACGATCGCTTTTCTTTTCTTTTTCTTTCTGTCCTTCTTGATCTTGGGGTATTTTCATTGCTTTTGGACAGACCCGGCGTTGGGACGTACATAGGCGTTTGCAAAGCATGCGAGCACAGACTAATTAATACCACCTTGACTCTACCTCAGGACGATCGGGAAGTTCTCGGCAATCTGAGCCAGGAAGGGCTGATCTGAGCAATTCTCAATGTTTGGGACGCCATCATCGACCGGAACCCGTGAAGGCCGCGGCGGCTCTCACTGGCCGATCGCGGCCGCCACGTGATCCGTGCCACACCCTCCCTCCCAGGCCCCAAGGCTTCCAAGACCCCCAAGTGTCCTTCCATCCATTCCCCCGTTTCATTCACTCATTCCATCGCTCTACTTCTTTGTCCATCTTCACTTTCCCCCCTCGGATTCGCTGGCCATGGATGCTGGCGTTGTGAATCATTCCTCCTAACTCTGTGTTGTTCCCCAATCCGCCCCCATTCCGCGTAGCCACTCTGAACGACAGCTGCCATCTCCACTGCTCCTGCCAGCTCACTCGTTCTCTTATCTCCGACCGTTGTCGTTGCAAGTGATCCGGAATCATCTTGTCGCGCCTCTTTGATGATATACCCCGTTCTTGAAGCGACTCGCAGGACGTCCTCTCGACTACCGACGTCATCTCCACCAAGTTTCCCGTTTCCCGTTTCCCGCTCCCGATTCCGCGTGGTCTGACCGTGTGGCTTGACCGCTCCTGTTGAAGATGAAGGTTCGCATCCCCTACACCCTCCCTGCCCTGGTGCAGATGCTAACTCTCACCATCTGATCAGTTTCTCCCTCTCCCAGAGATCGAGGATGTCACAAGTTCGCTGAATTTCGACACCGCCGACTGCCACATCCTCGGAGGCTGCGACCTTTACACGACCAAGGCCGCTCGCGCCGATCGCAAACTGTACAAAAACATCGAGCAATCACTAGAAGCTCAGTATGAGTCGGTTCTTCGCTTGTCGGCGTCGTTGTCGCCTCCCAACGCGTCGGATGCCGCTGCTTCGCTCAACCTGTCTCGGTCCAGCCCGTTCGGCCCCCTGAGTGAGCACTCGAGTCGCCGGACATTCGCCTATCTGATCGCCACCTTGAATGCGAGCCACTCGGATTATGACTTCTCTCATGTTCTGCGCCCGTCGGATTTCCATCGCGAGCGGAATCTGAAGAGGGTGATGAACACGATCGACACTACTTTGTTCAACCTCCGGCCTCGTGAAACTATCGATCTTACGCCCCCATCGCCCGTCACGATTTCTGGATCGTACAATGCCGGAGCATCGTCCACGTGGGGCCCGCGAATGTGGAAGATTATCGATGCGCAGATGTCTCTGAAGGAGTGCTCGCTGTATTCCTACTCTCCCGAGGAGGACCCGTCGGATGCCGATGACGGCGCCATCTGGAGCCTACACTACTTCTTCTTTAACCGACTGCGCAAGCGCGTTTGCTACATCTATCTCAGAGCCATCCCTATCCTGAGCCATACGCCGAGTGATGGCATCGTTTTAACACCGACGACCAAGAGAACGTTTGAGGATGGTTACATGACCCCCGAGTTGGGCTCTAGCAAACGCGCCCGATACTGGCTCGGCGACCGAGCCGACCTCGAGGAACAGGAGAGCGAGAGCGACGAGGGCGATAACCCGCTTCCTCCCACCCGCCCAGTCGTCGACGAGTACGACAATTACTTGCTCAGTGACGAGGAATTTCGCTCTCGGTCCGGCAGCAAGGGCACTGTGCGTGCCATGAGCGAGGAAATTGCTGACGCCATGGAGGTTTAACTTTCCCGATGACTAGTTTTACGACTCCCTGATGATTTTGCCTTTTGTTCTTTCTTTCTTTTTACTTACCCTTCAGTGTACAAGGTTTTGTCTGCAAGTCTTTGTTCTACTCCTTTAATGACCTGTTTTGGTGCATTCAACCTGCATTTGAGGATGAGGCGTTTAGTGTGTCTTACTAGGAGGGCCCGGGCCCCTAATATTTACTTGGCCTTGATGGTTATTCTATGTGGTTTTGAGTTTCACTCTCGTTCACGATAGTCTTACTCTGTTCTTTTTGTTGCTTCCGGATCTGATGACGCGCTGCATCGGCGGCGCTCGGGAGATTGGTTCGAGGAGGCGTTTATTTTTGAGATCGCTGAATTCAATATCTGATATCTGTATCCATCTGAACGTAATGATTCGGAACATCTTGTAAACTGCACACTTCCCCTGTCAATCGTTCAGGGCCGAAGTAAACGTGGGTGGTCCGTGCGCGGGACACGGGGAAAGCTGTCCGTTCCGCCCAGGCCACCTCTTCTTCCCTTCTCCCACTTCTCTCCCACTTCCCCAGATCGCCATTCAATCCGATCACCCACACACCATGGCCGACGAAGAGGAGCGTCTCAAGGCCGAGAAGCTCGCGGCTGCCAAAAAACGGGTTGGTACTCCTTGTCCACCTCACGCGAGGACAGACAACATGCGCTGTTCCTGTTTTGTGTCTAGAACTAACCATCCCGGAACCTAACCGGAACAGGTCGCCCAACTGCAAAAACAAAAGAAGAAAGCCAACAAGAAGACCACCAGTACCGATTCGCCTAAGAAACCTGAATCGTCGAAAGATGCCGAACCTGCCAAACCTACCCCCGACGAAGCTGAAACCCCCGCACCACCACCGGAGGAGAAGCAAGAGCAGGAGCAGGAGCAGCAGCCCAAGTCTGGCGCGCAGGATGACGCACCAGCACCAGCAGAAGCAGCTCAACCAGAGCCCTCTCAGACCGAATCGGACTCTCAACCTGAACCTCAACCTGAACCCGAACAACAAGGACAGCCAGAACCGATCCCGGAGCGAGCAGAATCCCCCGTCGAACCAATGCCCGATGCCCCGACGTCACCCGGGCCAGAAATCGAACCGCAAAGTGCGACTCGACTAGACGCCCCGCGCGCATCCCACGGCCGACAGCCCTCGCTCTCGATCCAGTCGAAGATGCGGTCGTCGTCGTTCCGCAAGACGTCGGTGTCGCAGGGCAGCGTGTCTCCATCTCCGGTGGCGACGATCAAGTCGCCGTCGTTGCCGCCGTTGTCGGCAGACGGGGACTCCGTGCAGGAGGTGTATCGGAAGCAGTCGACGCGGATTGAGGAGCTGGAGAAAGAGAATAAGCGGTTAGAGAAGGAGTTGGAGGAGGGGACGGGTCGGTGGCGGAAGACAGAGGATCAGTTGGAGGATCTCCGCGAGTCGAGTGTCGATGCGGCAGAGTTGAAGGGTAAGCTGGAGAAGGCGGAGCAGAAGGTCGCGGAAATTGATGAGCTGGTGAGTAGTGAGCCCTCTTCTCGCATGTCGAATCAGCCCGCCGGATGGATGGGTGCATGGAGGTCTGGTCGCGAAGGGCGAGTGACTGACTGATTGGCTGGCTGGCTGACTATGATGATCACAGAAAGCCGAGATTGCGTCCCTGCAACGACAGAACTCGCATCTTCAAACGAAAACCCACCGCAACAACTCCGGCGCGTCCCCTGGAACGACTGAGTCCCCACCGTCGGATCTGGTGCAGCAATTGGAGTCGAAATCCGCTACGATCGAGGCGATGGAACTCGAAATCTCCAACCTGCGGGCGCAGCTTACCGAGCAGACGAGTTCAAACACTGCGCATGAGGAACAGATAGCGGCTCTGGAAGAGAAGCTCTCGCGCAGCGAAACCACCCTCGAGAAGACGCAGAACGAGCTCACAGATACCAAGACCGCGCTGACACGTGCGTCCGAGAAGGCCGTCAAGGAGGGTGTAGACAAGACGTCGACCGAAACGCTGATCAAGAACCTCGAGCGCGAAATCGAGGAACTGAAAACCGAAAAGACCGAATCTGAGAAGAAGATCGAAACGTTAGACAAGAAACTACAAGCCATGGGTAACCTCCATAAAGAGTCCGAAGCCCGACACTCCACGCGACTCCGCGAGAGCGAAAAAGTTGAGAAGGAAGCCACCGCGCTGCGCAAGAAACTCGCCAGCGTCGAGAACGAGAACCTCCGACTGAAAGAAGAGCAAGTCAAGAAACGCGAAGTCAGCGGCGGCGGCGGCGCTGACGACGACGCCATCGACGAGCTCGAGGACGAAGAGCGCTCCCGCCTCTCGCGCCGCATCCGCGAACTTGAAGGCGAAGTCTTCGACCTGCGCCGCGGCGTCTGGCAAGATCGCAAAGACGAACTCGCCGCCACCGGCCAAGATACTACCGACTTCGCACCGGACTCGGCCGCTGCCAACACCTTCGACGACGTCGACCTCGTCGGTGGCAGTCCCGAACACGCCCGGCGACGAAGCATGGTTCAGCACCAGCAGCAGCATTCGTCCTTCTCGACCGTACTCTCTAGCGGCATCGCCGCCTTCACCGGCAGCGGCAACACCTACGGCAACCGAGGCCGCGCGCCCTCGAACCAGCAACATCCTCCCGCCGCGCGAGGCAGCCTGGAACTCCTGTCAGAAGAGAACCTAGATGACGAGTTTGACGAGGCCGAGTTCGCGCGCGCCCAGGCTGAAGAGGAGGCGCGGAAACGCGTCGAATGGGTCCGCGAGATCAAGACCAAGTTGAAGGACTGGCAAGGGTGGCGCCTGGATCTGGTAGACAGCCGCGCGGGCGCTGAGGGCGCTGGTGTTGGGATGGGTGAGATTTTTGTGATTTAGCATTTTATTCCATGAATTGATGGTTCTTTCGTCTTTTGTTGTTCTTTTTTACTTTGTTTAGATATTCATGGGAGTCGGAGGGTTGGTTTGTGAGTTTAGGGGATTTCCAATGAATATACCTTTGTTCTTTTCTTTCCTCTTATTACTGATATCTACCCAGTCAGTTGGAATCTCATCTAACAAATCTTGAACCAAACAATAGCATATCTGGAATTCAGCTAACGATATGTATTTAGCGCTTGCTCTCACGACAATAAATGATCAATGGATATCCACGGGCGAGTTTTAAATCAGACCAAAAACAAAGAGAAATCAAGTTTATACCCGTACAATTGTACACACAAAATCGAAACACCAAAACCAAACTCAAAAGTTCTAAAAGACTCCAAGAAAGTTTGCCACGGACATCAAGCCCTTGACAAAGTCACAATACACCCAGAGAAAGAGAGAGAGAGAGATAAACCCAGCCAGCTAGCTCCCTCCTCATTCCTCCGCATGTTTCCCCGTCAAGACACCCTCGGACTTCCTCGCGCGTCTCCTTCCCATCAATTCAGTCGCCCATCCAGAAATCTGGTAGATCCAGCCCCCGGTGACGATGACACCGGAGACGGTATTAACGAGACGAATGAGCAGGGAGAGGAAGGAGGTGCGTTCCTCGCTGATCATCAGCAGGATAGGCTCGATGTTGTACTTGAAGAAGATACCGGGAACGAAGAAGGGGCTTTCGGGCAGCTCGTCGGCCTGGGTGGTTGCGGCGTATTGGTTCGTGAAGACGAGGTTCTTGGAGTTGGAGTGGGTTTGCTGCGAGGGAGGAGCGCCGGAGAAGATGTCTAGGGCGCGAGAGCCCTTCGAGTAGATGGTGGGGACGACGGAGAGGAAGTATTGGAATTTGTAGTAGTGGGATTCGGTGGAGGCGATGGTCTTGTCGAGAGGGTTGAGGAGGGTGGGGTAGTGAGGGCCGAAGGAGAGTTCGGTGATCATGTGCGTGAAGTTGAAGGCTACAGAGGGGTATGTTGTTAGTCTTTCTATCTTTATACCTTGTAAACTTGTGGGGAGGGAAGAGGATAGCATACTGCCGTGATCCAAATGCGGCGCGAAATCCCGATATCCATGGCCTCGAGCAGTGATATGGAAATCCCCTTGCACCTTATTACCCTCCAAGCTACCAAAGATGCGACACGAGTCGACTGCATCGCTCCGGCGCAGCTTCGGGCCCTTGGGGAACTTCTTGCGCGGGTTGCGACGCACCTCGCCCAGGACGTGGTGGACATGCGCGTCCTCCTCCTGCTGGGAGAGACGGTAGGCGTCCTCGTGACTGAGAGTCTGGTATTCGCCAGAGCCGTAGTTTCGCTTCTCCATCCACAGCTTCCAGCTAGTATTTTCCTTCTTGAGGAGCTCACCGGCAAGAATCCGGTCTCCCGCGGCGTCCTGGATGTTGATGTGCAGGGCGTCGCAGGGCATCTGGACGACGATGTCAAGGTTTAATTGAAGATCGTGCGAGACGCCCTTTTCGACGCTGAAGTGCTGGTTCTCGGTGCCTTTGAGCCAGGTGCGGAATTCCGAGAACGAGAAGATGGAGCAGACGACGAGGATCAGAACGGTCCATTGTCCGCCGCGGCGCGAGGGCGTGGTGTAGGAAGGCTTGGTTTTCGCTGATGGTTGGAAGGCGGGTTAGCATGCAGGTTAATATTCCTGAATGGCCTCGTAGTTCAATTGGAGACGTTAAAGTGATTCAATGGAGATAACGTACGAAAGGCATCGAATGTTTGCAAGCCGCCCTTCGAGCTGGGCTTTTCCCCGAATGCATCTTCATCCAGGCCATGCCCTGAGTACCCATTCATAACGAATCGAAGTCAGAGAGCAGGAACCGTAGCAAAACAATCAAGGCATGAATAAGGTAGTGAAAGGAAAGACGACAGGCGGGAAGTAGGTAAAGGAGTGGATGGGGATGAAGCAGGTGGTGCGGAGAGGAGAAACGACGGCCAGTTGAGGCCAAGTAGTCCACATCCCGCCCTTATCGATAACCTCCGCCCAGCTCGGTGGCCGGAAGAAACCACCAGTTTCTACGGAGTAGTTCGAGCCTAATTTCTTGCTCCGAATTACAGCAAATTCATATAAAAGTAGAATTCTCGTGTCAATCAATGTCTACAATTCTGTTCAGTGTATCTCGTAAGTGTATATGCATCAATGCTCCGGCTCTAACATAACCCATGCCATCTCCGCGCAATCCCCAAAGAGCACGAGTCGAATTAGAAAAGAGGAAGCAACGAAAGAAGAAAAAGATAAATATAAATATACATCTGGGTCCAGTGGAAGTCAACGTTCCACTGAGGAAAAAAAAAAAGGAATATATGCAATAAAAGAAAAAGAGAGTTAATGATAACGAGAGACAATGAGGATAGGCATGCAAAACACAGCTTCCAGGGTCGTAACAAAATCACAGCAACAGGCTTTCGGAAATGAAATCAACGAGAGACAGCAAACAGACATCGTGAGGAAGCATAGGAATGCTCAAGTAAGGGTATAGGATGGGCTTCCTGTCGTCCACCTCCTCAAGTTCAGATTCAATCATAACATGGTGCAAAGAAAAGAAAAATCACAAACGTTCCCGACCAGTGTATGCAACTTGATAGTCAAACAATTATTATTATTACAAATATGCAAGAAGTGTAAAGGGGGGCCAGAAAATGAAATAAAAGATGCAACGCTCGTCATCCGCTTTATTTAGTCCTCTGTATGCTAGTCAGTGGTCGTGTTCTTGTCGGAGTCGGTGGTCTTGCCGCTCACCAAGCTTGTCGCAGCTGCTGCCGTGGCGAGGTCGGGCTTTCCACTGATGCTCCTGGCGGCGACGCGAGGCAACGCCGATCCGGGCGTGGTGTTGGAGGTGCTGATGCCTCGCTTGCCGGGAGTAGACGGCGGTAGGCCGCTCACAGTGGAATGTCGCTTGCCAATGGGGTGTTTGACTGGAGACGTGCCGGACACATCTCGGCTGCGAACAAAGGCGCCATTCTTGAGGCTCGTGGCAGGAGGCTCGGGAAGCGGGCGACCCGATGACGGGTTGGAAAAGATGTTTCCACGTTTGGCCGGAGAATTTGTTCCCACGGTGTAGGTTCGGGGTCGTGGGGGCAGCTTGACTCCGGTGATAAATTCATGGCGAAGTGCTTCATGGGGGGTCATACGTCGAGCAGGATCCCAGCGCAGGCAACGAGCAATGAAGTCTAGGAAAGCATCGTCGTCGCATTTCAAGGACTGCCTGAGCTCCTTGGAACTCGGGCGTCGACGGCGACCCTTCGACGAGACCGTCAGTCTTGGTTTGCCAAGAGAATCGAAGAACAGCTTCTTCCGAGTGCTCTTCTCGATCAGGTGCTTCTCCGGAGGTCCGAACACCTCCATGATACAGGCAAGCTGCTCCTGCTCGTTCTCTCCGGGGAAAATCGGATACCCAGTAAAGAGCTCGGCCAGGATACAGCCGACACTCCACATGTCGATTGGCATGCCGTATGACATGCCCAGGATCACCTCTGGCGAGCGGTAGAATCGACTTTGAATGTAGGTGTACACCTTCTCGTTCTCGAAGCAACTCGAGCCAAAGTCAATCACTCTGATCTCGGAGCTCATCGGATGGCAAAGGAGAATGTTTTCCGGCTTAAGATCGCAATGAATCACTTTCTTGGCGTGCAACAGTACGAGACTGCCTAGGATCTGCTTCGTAAAGCGACGGATGAGTTTTAGAGAAAATCCCTTGAAATCGTGAGCCTTGATGAATTCGTAAAGATTCATGCCCAGAAGTTCAGTCGAGATGCACAAATGGCCGCGGAAATAAAAGCTCTGGGTGAAGTTGACCACGCTGTGACGGCGATGAGGATCCCATTCCTTGAGTTTTTGCAGAAGGTTCACCTCGATCAGAGCCTGCTGGTGGAATCGTTTCTTATTGCGGATGATTTTAACCGCGACAAGACCGCCGGTTTTGTGGTCAACACACCGCACGACCTGCCCAAAACTTCCCTTGCCCAGCACGTTGATCACTTCGTACCGATATGCGAGGTGATCACCGATAACGATGTTGTAATCGCCGCGATCGTCATCATAGCCGAAATTGGCAGCCTGAGAATTGAGGTCACCCACATGCTTCTTGGCATGTTGCGTGCCACAGAAATAGATGTCTTTGAAGTCGATGATTTCTCCGCGTTCAAAGATGTTCAAGCCCGCCATCCGGAGAGCCTGCCCGGGGGTTACGCGTTCTTGAGGAGCAGATTTGTTGCGGAGTTCATCCAGTTCCTTGGCGGCGTGCTCAAAGTCTTTGCGTCGACTACCAAGCTTGCGCATCTCCTCATCAGCAAGTTGGACATCAGAATCCTTGACAGGATCGGTCGATGTTGAGTGGGCTCCAGCATTTGATTTCGCAGAGTTGAGGATCTTGTGAACGGGCGAGAGTATGGAAGATGCGGAACGATGTTGCAGAGTGTCACTTTCTCCGGACTCGTTGGATGGGCTTGGCTCCAATGCAAGGCTCTGCTCACTGCTGACACTGGGTTTCCTCAATGCCGGATTTGCCATGTTCATCATGGAAGACTGCCTCCTTGTCTTGAGGTAAGACGTCTTCAGAGTCGGACTGGTATTCTTGGTCGTCGATAAATTGCTCCAGGTTGAAGACGCCGGGATCTTCGGAGGCGGCATAGGATCCCGCTTTTTCGGATCGGTCGTTGCTGCATCAGGAGGCGGTTGGGGCTTGGAGGCACTGCGCTGCCGGGGCACTACAATCTTGTTGCGGACTGACGATCCGGACGTGCTGTTATTGTCAGCATCGGATGAGGTGGAGAGTTGGCTGACAGTTTCCGCGTTGGAAGACAAGGCAGAAGACTGGGTTTGCGGGCGTGGACCGGTCAGTTTGTGCGGTTGCGCTGGTCGAGGGGAATAGTCGGCGCTGGGCTTCTGGCGAAGGTAGTTGAGATCACTGTTGCTCTTCGGCAGCGTGTATGATATGTAGGGAGAAACCGCTCTTGCGCCGGCTGGTGTGTTCTCGAATCCTCCCAGGGCACTGGAGCTACTGGCGGTCCTCAGGGTGTGAGGCACAGAGGTGCTGACTACGAAGTGCGCAGTGCTGCTTCTGGCCTGAGTTCGCGGCGCCGTGTCATCATCATCCTGGACAGAGAAAAAGTTCGCTTTCGACGCTGTCAAAGGCGTACTAGGCGTCTTGGACGTGATTTGGCCTGTTGGAGTGTGCGATTTAGCTTCCTCTTCTCTTTCACGCAGCGCTTCGATTTTCGTTGTCATCGGCGTTCCCAGTGGCAGCAGGTTCAAAGGCGGGAGCTTGAGTGGCTGCAAATTCTTCTTAGCGAGGCTACCAGATGCCCTTGGTTTAGCCTCGGGTGTTTTCATAGCCCGTCGCGTAGTAGCAGAATCCGAAGCGTCGTCCTCCGTTGCGCTTGCTTGCTGGTTGGTGTCCGAATCTGTATCGGTTCTAGATTTGAGAAGATGGATATCCAGCGGTAGACTGGTCTTGCGGGGAGCAGAAAAGTTTGGTTGATCAATTTCACTCTTGGGGGACTCGTACGCCTTAGGGATCGCCGGTACAGGAGGTACCTCCTCATCGGTCGTCGCATGCTCAGTACGAGGCTTAGGAGTCGGCAGCCGCGACGAGGACGAGACTTGGGATAGGCGATGCTGTAGAGAGCCTTGCGAGTTTCGCGCCGAGTTATAACTTGTATTGGATGACAAAGACAAGCCAGAGCTATACGATTTCCGGTTGGGGTCCGGGGTGGTTCTGGTCGAAGAAGGGGTCACGCTCTTGCGGGGGATCATGGAAGGCGACTGGGCGCTGGAGCGAGGACGAAGAGGCAGAGGGTCTGTTTGGGTGGGAGGAGTATATGGCAGAGGCATTGGATGTGTTTGAGGCGCCGTCGACATGCGCTTCATTCGCCGCGCATCGGTGGGACTGATTGTGCGAGCGCCCAGGCCCGTCGCATGCGGCGGCATAGCCGACACGCGCTTCGCTGAGGCCGGAGTCGTTGCCGTATCCGCGGCGTTCTTGATTGGCGTTCGGACAGCATTCGTGGAGGACGACCGAGAATGATCTGGAACGCTAGAAGTTGCCAAGAAGCTTTCCCCGGGCTCTCTACTAGGGGGTTGCAGTGACTTCGCCTTCATGTTTCGTGCGTTCGCCGTAAGCTTCGAGCGATCCGTGGAGCCAGCGTCGGCATGCTGTGTTCGTGGACTGAGAAAATTTGCTTGGTCAAATTGGGATTGTGCGGTATTAGCACTGGCCTTCCTGGCCGACAGACTCTGCCGTCTGGCAGAGCCAGCTGTCGGGATAGAGCCGGGTCCTATCGATTTGCGAGGAGCTCGCTGCGCTGGAGTGCTGGTCACCCCGGGCTGAACAATACTCTGTCGACGACTTCGGCTTGCTGCATACGAGGGAGTTCGAGTGGATGCCACGTCGGCCGATGCGTTTTGATTTGACACGCTCTTCCTTCGGGTAGAATTACTCCTCAAGCGTCCAGACACGCCATTTCCGTGGCTGGTCGGCCACGGATCGTGTTTCGGGGGATCAGGACCTGATCCCCCGCTTCGCGGCATTGGGAAATGGTTCAAGCTCGGCTCCGCGACGATGCTGTTGTGGAAGTCGTCGAAATTGACCGGCGCAAGGAAATCCGCGTTTTCGGGGGGGGTTTGGTTGTCTTCCATTTTTGGGAAAGTACCCATGCTGGTCGATCGGAGGCTGATGCGGGAGTTGTTGCTTTGCGTGGAATCATTTGTGGAATCGATTGACGAGTTACCGGAGTGAAAGAAGGAGCCGGATGTAATGCTGTGGAAAGAAAATGTGGGTTAGAACCTCCGAAAGCCCTAAATCATCGAGCTGCATGCAGTCTTACGGGGGGAAATGACGGTGAGGTCAGGGGAGACGGAGTGGCGGCGAGAACAAAGGAGCACTTCCAACAGCGGACAACTTACTTTCTCCGGGATGGTTCCTGCGGTCGCGGGCCCTGGGGTGCCTTCTGATCCCGTATCGATAACCTCCTTCTGTTCATCACACTTATACGAGAACCCGGACCGGTCTTAGGAGTTTGGGAGGATGCGTCGGATAGGAGGGTGGTGGAGGAGTGTTTGTTCAATCGTCGTCTTGTAGGTCCTTCTGCTAAATCGCCACGAACGTTAGTCTTGACGGCTTCAACAACCCATCTGGTCACCATCACATGGCATCCAAGCCGAGCTTACCTCCTGAGCCCGAGTCGTCATTTCGCGAGGGACTGGAGGAATTCGAATAATCTTTACGCGACGATCCCTTCCCTAGAGCTGGCTGGGACGGTAGCTGTCCTGGCATCATCGAAGTCCGACAGAGATAATCCCGAAGGTGTAGGAGACAGGCCTCGGGCGGGATCGAAAATGAAAAATTATAGGGGATTCCAAGTGGAAACCCAATCGCAATGGCATTCAGGAGTCAACGGTCTCTCGCTATTCAAACAAAGGAGAGCCTTGACCAACACCGTCGCGCGACCCATCAATGGACGTTACCGGTCCATTGCGGGGATCAAGAACAGGAATGACCGTTCTAGGGGAGCGATGGGTTTATTGGGGGAAAGGAGATGGTGAGCAGTTGATAATGGAAGGAATGAAGATATTGGAAAATTGGTGGTTTTTTTTTATTTTTCCCAGCTTGTCCGAAATCTCTAGAGGGGTGGAGAAATAGGAGTTATCAGCGCTGGAGCGGACGGTGGTGTGCAGAGGAGAAAGTCTGCCTGGGGCAACACTTTCGGGAGGAAAGTTACGGGCGTGACGGAGTATAGACGGTCCAGAAATTGAGGACGATCCGGAGAACGCTGTCAGTGGTACTCTGGTACTCTGGCGAGGCGATAAAAAATGAAGGGGAAAAAAAAAAAACACAAAGACAAAGAAATAGAAGTGACGAAGAAAAAAATAAAAAAAATTCCACACGGACAAGAAAGACGTCAACAACAACCATAACTAACTAATAATTAAAAGCGGTGGAGTCCTCGTCCTTCCACCGAGACTGGTAAACAACGTTGAAGAGCCTAAGGGTTAAGGCTGCCCCCCCTGCTCCTTTTTGCGGATGCCCCCGTCCGCGTTGGGCATAGCTCCTGCAAACAGCCCAAACATGCTCGGGCGGAAGAAATACCCACTCGCCTGATCGACGGTACGGAGGCCGTATTCGACGTATCTTCCTCCTGCCCGGGAGCTCGGTCTGGTAATGGTAAGATTACCGCCCTCCGCCTGCATGTGCTTCCCGCTTGCAACGACACTTTAATCTCCCCCCCTCTCCCTCTCTCCGCCGAACGGAAATGTCTCTTCTTTCCTTCCCTCCCCCTCGTCGCTGCCGTGGCCAGATGTTGTTATCATGGATAAATTCACCGATGACGCCGTCGTCAACCGCAACGAACATATTCCCGTAACTTCGGTCGGGCAGCAATCTCACGGCTCTTCTTCCGCTGAAACTTCGGCGGGTCACCGACGCTCCACCTCGAGCGGCGGTCCCTCTCTGCAGGATAAATTGTTTGCGAAGTATGTTGCTCCTTTGATGCCTTACATTTGCCACGCAGCGCCATTGTTTATTGATATTGACCGTGTTTCAGGCTGCTGCAACAAGTCATTCCCGCCGAGGACGTGGACGATGAATCTACATCGGCCGACCGACATGCCGGTGCCGATGCCAAGCGACCCGCCTTCAGTCTACCGGTGATGGCGAACAACTTCCGCAGATTCAATGCCAGGTAAATCAAACTCTCGGTGCGTAGTGTTTAAGATGATTTGAAGACTGAGATCCGTGGCAGAATCGGGATTGTCTTCTCCTTCCAGAACCAACTGGAGCGCCTGTTCAGTTGGAAACAATCGTCTCATACATTTTCATTCCTCTTTGTATATTCCTTCGTATGTCTGGATCCTCATTTGCTCGTCATCATCCCCATCGCATCGATCTTGCTCTTTGTGATGGTCCCCGCCTTTTTGGCGCGACATCCCCCGCCCCCATCGACTTCGACATCAAGCATTACACCGTACTACTCGTACCACGGACCAGCGCTTGCGCCGGCAAAGACCATCAAGCCAGCCTCGGAAACTTCCAAGGACTTCTTTCGGAACATGAGGGACCTGCAGAATGTTATGGCCGATTTCTCTGATATGCACGACGCGACTGTCTCGGTCTTTGCGCCCTTGACCAACTTCTCAAATGAGAAACTGTCCTCGAATGTCTTTCTTCTATGCACGATCGTTACCGTTCTGCTGTTCATATGCGCCCACTTCTTCCCGTGGCGGTACATCCTTCTAGTTGGCGGTAATGCGGCCGTCCTGTCTAGCCACCCAAGTCTCCAGGACTTTATCCAGGGTGTGATAGGTGAACTGGCGGACCACTCCGCGGACCAATCCTCCGGATCCAACTTCGTCAAGAAAGACGCCTCGGATCTATTAGGACTACCCCCTACGCCATCTGCCACCATGTCTCTCCTGGGCTCGCTAACTGATATTTCCCTGCATTCATTCCCGGAGGAACGGGAAGTCGAGATCTTTGAAATCCAGTATCGATCTCTTGCCCCGTTTTCCGAATCACAATGGGAGCACTTCGTCTTCAGTCCGATGCCTTACGACCCGTTATCTCCACTCCGCATTGCAGGCGACCGACCCAAAGGATGTCGGTTCTTCGAGGATGTCCGAGCTCCTCAGGGCTGGGCCTGGAAGAGTAAGAAATGGGAGCTGGATTTGGATTGCCGTGAGTGGGTCGTGGAGCGCATGATCACGGGTGTCGGGTTCGAGGTGTCAGCAAGCGACTCGGAAAGCCCTTTGTCGAATGAGGAAGTTGGGGGCTGGGTTTGGGATCTTCCGTCCACGGTATCTCCTAAGAATGAGGATGAAATGACCACGACGTTGGGGTACGATGACTACGAGCAATCGGAGCAAAGGTCCTCCTCGAAAGGAGAGAGTAAGAAAGGAAAGAAGAAAGGGAAGGGACGAGCCTCACAGGACTACGAAGAGAAGGGGGGCATTGGATCCAACGCAATGGGAGAATGGCGGAGAAGACGATGGGCTCGGATTGTGCATCGCGTAAGTATGCCAACTGAGCAGGGGAAGCCTCGAAGCTTGGACGAGGTCAAAGAGGAGTAGCTGGTTCTTCTTTTTCTCTTTGAGCGTCAGCGTTACGAGTTGAGACGGAATTTAATGTATAAATTGTATATCTCAAAATGAGACCATGGACCGTAAGGAATGTGAACGAGCTGATGTAGGAGATGCTACAGGTCATGTAAATCGTCGTTGAGCAAAGAAAAAGCTCCCTACATTAAAATATAAAACGGCTGTGGAAAGCTTGGCAGGTTGCAACCTCAGGCATTCATTCAATACGTTCGCGATTGTCGCTATATTTCGCCACAGGATCGTTCCATATATCCTTCCTTTGATTCACGCCTTCTTTCAAAGCTTATACACAATCTTGTAACCCGAGATCTTACCCTCCCGATGCTCTTGGAAGCCACCAGCCACCGACTTCAGGCCCTGATACACCTTCGGCTCGCTAGGTTTGATAGTCCCTTGACTCAACCACCCGGGCAATTTCTCAAAGAGCTCACTACCCAGCTCGTGATCATGTTTCGAAGTCTACAAGGCATTCAAAAAACCCACAAGTTAGCCTACCAATATCAAGAGCTCCCCAAAACCACAGGACAGAAAGACGAAAGACAGAAGAGAACTTACCGGCCAATAAAACTCCCCATATCGATGCTCCTTTAAGAAAGCCGTCCAAACCAAAACATCACTGACATGGGTCTGTGTCGAAACGTTCTGAGTATGTGCCTTGCCCGGACGGACCGTGCAAATCCAGTTTTCTCCCGAGGAGGCCTGTGAAGCGAGCGTTGAGGACGATTCGTTGCCGATGGTGTCGAACGCGTAACGGAGGTTCGGCGCCGCGGCATGGATCTTCCCGATGACTTGCTCATCGCGGTAGTCAAAGACGCGTTTGGCGCCGTAGGAGCGAACTAAGTCTGCGTGACGGGGACTGCAGGTTGCGATTACCTCGAGGCCATGGAGGGAAGCGAGTTGGACGGTGTAGAGACCGACACTGGCTGGGGGGTTGGTGGATTTAACGTTAGTAGATGGTGGATATATTTGCGCTAGGATGTGGAGGTTTCGGACATACAACTTCCACCCCAGACGAGAATGCTCGTTCCGGTCTTGTTGCGGTCGATGTTGAGAGAGTCTTTCGAGTACAGGGCCAGCCATGCGGTCGTGGCTGCGAGAGGCACGGTGCTGGCATGCTCTCTGGATAGCCCGGCAGGGAGCTTGAAGCAGATCTTCTCGTCGGCTAGACTGTAGGTGCTGTAGCCTCCGAGTCCTTTGAACTCGCCTTGAATGATTGGTAAAGTTAGCATGACATTCATACACAGATTTGAATGTAAAATGTGAACACCTACCTCCCCAGATCAACCCAGCAACGACATCGCCTTTCACCAGTCGCGTTACGCCGTCTCCCAGTTTGACTACCTCGCCAACAAAATCGCATCCCAGCACGGCGCCGTCACCGAAGGCATTGGAGTCAAACGCTTGGACTAGAAGATATGAGTCTCAGCTCTACCAATCTTTCTCTCTTCAGTTCAAATGGAAACCTCATACCATCCGTAGGGTTCTGCGCTACATGAGACAGCTTCACAAGGACCTGTCCACTGGCCGGGGAAGGGACGGGTAGATCCTCCAGCACCAACTTCGGGGATCCGCCTTCCGGCACGCGCACCACGAGGGAGGTGTTCGATTGTTCTGCCATTATGATGAGGATGAGGGTTTTCGGAGGGGAAATCCCTGAAATACAACGAATCGCGCGGTAGGAATACGAGGACTATTTATCTAGATTCTGCATAACTAACTAGAACATCTGTTTAGTCAACTGACGTCAGGCTTCCCCGCGCTGACAAATGCAATTCTTGAGCTGCAGAATCAACAGCCGATGCCATCTGACGGTGCAAGAGAAGTCGTTCATTATACTTCCGCTCGAAGAAAGCTCTCCAATCAGTTCTTAAACCTCAAGGGCTGCAGCAAGACCACTAAACATTAAACCCCGCTTGTCTGGGACCCCCCGCACCACCCTATCTAAGCTATGTGTCCAGGATCAAGATGCTTGCTAGTGTTTTGTGACCGCGTGGATATGCATAAATACCCTCCGCTTAAGAGAGTTGACACTGTTTGGTGCAGTAGTATATCTGCCTCAACAAAGCATTAAATCAGGCTTGCTGCGCAGAAGAGATGGGCTTGCAACAAACATTTCCAAGTGTCGACAAGGCAAACAGAGTTGTCAATGGCAACCTCTCGTCCATTCTCATGCAAAGGAGACAGCTCATTTTTGTCGTTTTTGGGGAAAGCGACCGGCCAATGAATCAGATAAAGCTGTTTTGGATCAATTATTAGCAGCGTTATAACACGAAGCAGATATTGCATACGTCAAAGTAATCAAGCTTGAGTTCTTCCAGCGTCTCATCGAGAGTTGTTCCTATATCCTCTGGGTGGTGCGAGCTGCCAGAAAGTCAATTCAACTGTCGGTTAGAGAATGCATGGTCACTGACTTGTTCCATAATTTAGAAGTCTTAGTCCGGTTAGGTAGCTAAATTCTTAAGGGAATGACGATCTTCACTCACAATAAAGACATCTTCTCTCTTGAGACCAGGAATCTCTTTGAATGCTTTTTGAATGCCTTGAGCGACTTCTGGCTGATTCTCATAGCTTCAGGTGGTTAGAGCTGGTTGTCACGTAATAGATCAGGATCAGTTACACTTTGGCCAGATCCTATCAAGAAGATGTTAACAGTTTACTTTTTGAAAGGGAGTTATATTCTGTTACCAGATGACGATATCCAGCCTTCAGAGCCTCGTACACCCCAGAAGATACCTCTCCGGGCGAGGACTGCCAAGTTCCATAGCCTAATTTCCTGCAATTTGATTAGGGTAAATGGGCCAAGGTTTCTTTGTGACGAACATACGGGATGGTTTGCCCAGAGATCAAAGTAGCTCGGTTGCCAAATGACATTCTTGAATGTATTCGAGTAAATCGTGAATGGAAGTGATGTGTTCCGGGATCAGTACTTTCGAACCTTGAGCTGATGAAGTCGGGGGCAACGAATTTATAGACGCGACCGAGAGACTTTTGACGACATATACACAAGGAGGTTTTCTTCCGCGCAATGGACCCTCAATGGAGAACCAGCCGATTCATTGGGGCTCACCGTGGGCCAATCATTATCACTTGACGTATTTTTGATCTCTTTTAGTATCCGACTGATTGATGATCACGATCGACCAGGCAACTCCGACTGAGCGTATGTTTAACGGATTCAGGGCTTCGGACGACCGGAGAACAGCTGAGGCGAGCCCGGCCATACGATCTCCGGCTGTGGTACCTAGATCCTAGCCCTCAATTTGTGCTCTGTGTGTACTTGCTGGGGACAACCTTACCCCAGAATCGATGTTGGGCGTATGTCGAGCTCTTTGGGGCAATCTCACGAATCATACGACAGAATACCATTGCATCAACGCTCGTCACCTAAGACTATAAATCCCACGAGATAGAGCGCGGCTTTCCCAATTCACTTCGTCAGATTACTAGATTTCAAAGACTCTTATGCTCTAATATACTCCAACTCGGCTCATCTTCCGACAGGAATCATTCACTTTTGCAATGGCGACCATGAATCATCACAATGCCCCTCACCCATTCGACCCCATGCAGCCGGGAGAGATTCGCCTAGTTGTGGCAATTCTTCGTGCTGCCCTGCCCGGCATTCCTCTTCGTTTTAGGACAATAGACGTGCAGAAGCCGATCAAAAGCAATATCATACCTTTTATCGAGGCCGAGCGCCTCAACAGACCTCTTCTGGATGTTCCTCGACCGACACGTCTGCTCTTCTCTTACTTCCATCGAGTCGATAATGGTGTCTTCATCAAAGCCTTGATCAAAATGAACGACCGCAAGGTTGTGTCAATGAAGGAGCTTCCTGCTGGAGTTCAAGGTCCTGCCGATGTGGACGAGCTCATCGAGATGGAGGAGCTTTGCCTCAAGCATCCTGCCATTATCCAGGAAATTGAGAAAATGCAGCTACCTCCTGGAATGAGCGTCTGCACTGATCCTTGGGTTTACGGCACTGACTCCGACTCCGAAAATCGCCGACTGTTTCAATGTTACATGTATATCGTTCCTGTGGACGATCCTCAGAGTAACCATTACTCTCTTCCATGCATGCGACTTCTCCCCTGTGTTCGATGCGACTACAAAGCAATTCATCCGGATCGACAACATGCCGACAGGGTTTGATCACAAAACCCGGGAGACCCAGCCATGGAAGCCTGTGAAAGCGGTCGAGTACGCACCACGATCTGTTGGACGAGCCCGTTCGCCAGGACCTGAAGCCTTATATTGTACAGCAGCCGCAGGGACCATCATTCCCAGCTGACGGTCACCTTGTGTCCTGGCAGAAGTGGCGGTTCCGCGTCGGTTTCAACGTACGTGAGGGCATGGTTCTCTACAATGTCACCTACGATGAACGCAATGTGTTCTATCGTCTCTCGCTCTCCGAAATGACTGTCCCCTATGTTGATCCGCAAAAGCCTTACCACCGGAAACAAGCATTCGACGTTGGTGATGTCGGCCTTGGAATCACTTGCAACCAACTAAGCTTGGGGTGTGACTGCCTTGGTCATATCAAATACTTTGACGGCCACCGAACAGATTCTAAAGGAAATGCCGTCACATTGAAGAACGTCATTTGTCTTCACAAGCAAGATGGTGGGATTCTTCATAATCACAGCAACTACCGCAACGGAATTGCCACTGTTGTACGTAACTGTCAGCTTGTTGTGCAGATGATCTGTACAGTTTCCAATTATGAGTATGTCTTTGCTTGGGTCTTTGATCAAGCGGGTGGCATTGAATTTGAGGTTCACACAACTGGTATTCTTTCAACCATGCCAATCGATACCTCAAATGATATCACGGTCCCTTGGTCCACTAATGTTGGCCCCGGCGTTTCTGCTCCAAACCACCAACATGTCTTCTCCTTGCGAATTGACCCAGCCATTGATGGTTTTAATAATACTGTGGTCTACGAAGATAGTATAGCGCTGCCAAAGGAAATTGGGGTTGCCGATCCATACGGAGTTGGCTACATTGCTGCAAGCTCGATCATTGAGCAAAGCGGACATGCAGAGACGGATATCTACAAATCTCGAACTTTCAAGATTCGGAATGACAATGTCATCAACAAGGTCAGCGGTCGCCCGGTTGCGTACAAGATTCAAACCATCGCAAGCCAGCCGATGTTAATGGCAACCGAGTCGTTCAATCGCAAACGTGCACTATTTGCCGAACACCCTATCTGGGTTACCAAGTATCGTGACAATGAGCTTTATGCAGCTGGAGTGTTTACAAACCAAAGCACATCTTCCAACCCCGGTCTCGAAACTTGGGCTGGTCGTGGTGAAAATGTAAAGAACGCCGATCTTGTTTTCTGGCATACGTTCACGTTGACGCACAATTCTCGACCCGAGGATTTCCCTGTTATGGCAGTTGAGCGGATCAGTGTACACCTCAAGTCATCCGGCTTCTTCGAGAAGAATCCCGCTCTTGATGTTCCCCAGTCAAACCAGGAATTCAACAAGTCCAGCTTGCATGACAACAAAAACAACGGGCCTAGCAAGGCGTGCTGTGGAAAATTGTAAAATCTCTCTGATAGTCAAGGAATCTAGGATTCAATACGGAACTTAAGATGTTAGGTTTTCATGAAATCCAAGGAATGTTGAATAGATCCTTCAGTATGACCGTTCGTTATGTTTGTTTTCTGTGGCAAGAAGCATATCAATACTAGCTTGAACCGATGTTAAGCTGCGTGAAAATGACTTGTAGCCAAAAAACTCTTTTTCTGGGAAAATATTCTAATAATCAAGTCTCTTTCTCTCTATTCTATCGTCAAAATCTTGAGATCAGTTTATTCCACCAGTCCTTCTAGAACACATCTTATGACTTTCCTCTAGCAACCGATGTACATGTGGTTCAGAAATACTCCACAGCGGTAACTCTGTAATGTAGATACTGTTGCCATCTGTCAGGTTTCCTCGAAGAAATTGAATGTTTTACATTTACATCGAGCACAAGGCTTCTTTGCAAAATAGCTCTAGACTCAAACTTCCATTTCTAAAATTATTCAGATTATTTCAAGTACATGAGACTTATGCCGACCTCATAGCGCGCTCAACCTAGCTGAATCCTGAAGTGCTTGCTCGATAATATAGGTAGCTTGAAGCAGAGTGTCTTCATGCATTCGCTTGGCCACAACCTGCAGACCAACAGGCAGCCCCTGAGATGTCGCTGCCGAATAATCCTCCAGCATTTTCTTTTCCAAATCATTTTTTGCGTCATAAATTTGGTCCGAAAAGTTAAGTAGATCCCATCCACGAATAAAGCTCGAGGCTGGTAAAGCAATCGCTGGGTATTGAAGCAGGTTCCAAATGGCCGTATATCTCTAGTAAGGGTACGCGCCAAGGGGCGGCGCAGTACTCAGCGTAACGGGGGCCAAAACAACATCAACACTAGCCTCATTCCAATGCGAATTATATTTCTGACGGAACTGGTCGCGAGCAGCTTTTCGCCCCTGCATTGTACCAGAAACGAGTTTTGCACTCTCTTTGCATATGGATGAATCTGGGGGGTGGGTCGAAGCTATTGCTAGTATAAGTCAACAACATAATTCAATTGATAATGGCTTTCATTGTCGTCTTGCTCGATATCTCATCACCATGTCCCCCTTTATTGAGAATTTTGTGATGGGATCTGAGAGCCTAGTCCATGAGCCTTCCGTACATACTTGCTGACACATAGAAGCGTTTTGTTCTGCATCCCTAGTATCTATATCGCTCTTACCGGCCTTAGAGCGGGTGGTGGGCGAGCGAGTTCGCAGGAAATAGCGGCTTTGACTAATAGGTTTGTTGGAAGTGCCCGACGACCATGAGAACTCACGATTAATGTCGAATCGTAGTATTCTATATGGTGTCTATACTGTTGCATGATGGTGTGCTGGGTCTGTCTTGAACCATTTGAAACCAGAATGGACCACGTGAGCAATCATCAATACGACATTTTCTAAATATTATGGCCATCCGACTTCTTCATTTGCAGAGTCATTGGGGGTATCGGTTACCCTATTTATGTTAGATCACTATGGTACTATGACCGAGTGGGAGGGCAGGTTTACCCTCTTCTAGGTTCGAAATTCGCTCCACCGTCGTTCTAGAACTTCACTACTGGCACTCTACTAGCTGGTGTGGTCCTCAGTATATGTGCTGCTCTGCTATGGACAACATCCGGGTTCATCCAGTTTGCTTATCAAGAGGAGAAATACAAGGCTATGGTGATTATTCACTTCTTTCGCTCGCCCCGTCCCCATGCTAAAATGACACATTTACAGTATATCACCTTGCAATGGATCCTCACTTCAAGCGGAAGTACAGTAGGTGCTCTGATCGCATTTGGCGCCAAAATGACTGGCGGCGAACAGCCTGGTGTATCTAGTGCTGTCTATATTGCATTCATTGTGGTCATGACCGTGTAAGACGCCATCGGCCCAAATTCAATCAATTTGTTGAATACATACTGACTGGAGTCATTTCAAAGCGCGATCGTTGGGGCATCCATTTTCATAATCGATCCAGGGAATGTTGTTCGAGATGATGGCCGACATATTGCTACATTTGAAAAGGCAACAGTCAAAAGAGAGGTCTTGGGTGTTCTATCTGTGATAACTGATCCGAAGATTATAATTATTCTGCCGGCCATGTTTGTTGCTGAAATGTGCTTAGCGATGACCAGCAACATCAACGGTTTGTTCTTGCTTCTTGGTGGGTGTTTCGAATGTTTTACGACTAACCTCAACTTGGCAGCTTACTACTTCAATATACGAACGCGAACCCTGAATAACGTGCTATTCCAAGCAATAATGATATCGACTCCGCTTTTACTCGGCTATATACTCAATAATGAATATGTCAAACCCCGAAAGCTGCGCGGTGTAATGGGCACTACCTTCGTGGCCTTGATTACCATGGGTGCTACCTGTAGCCTTCTTGCCTGGATAATGAAAAATCAAGTCAATCAAGAGGGGTCATTCTCCGTCGATTGGACCGATAGCAGCTTTGCTGCAGGTCTGGTCCTTTATATCCTATTCGGCATTGTTTACGGGTGCTTCCAGGTTCATGTCTAATGGACACTTGCTGCACTGACAAATGACCCAGCTCTTTGCGCCCGCTACGCCGGTGCATTTAAAGGTACAGTTAGTCTGGGTATGTGTGTGTCATTCACGGTGGACTCCTAGGGAATGTCCTTCCGAGATCAGATTATTATGCAGCTGGCACTATACCTCGCAGGTATCTTCGGTCTGTACTATGCAATAATCGTCTATGTCCGGCAAACAAACTACTTCGTCGAAGAAGGTGTTATTGTACCAACAGAGATGGAGAACACTTTGGAACAAGGAGAAGAATGAAACAGCCCAAGAACAGCTTGATAGCAAGGGACAGCCCACGTGAAAAGGGAATATAGTCTTTGCTTTCTCATTTAGTAAAGAGAGGTTTCTTTTGTTGTTTGTTTTTCTTTAGGAGAATAAAGTCATCGTGACGAGTTGACGCGTCATTTAAACCATCGACACAAAATTCTGACAAGCTAGAGCACAGAGATGCGTAGGTCTCAGATCCCCAATTATCTCTGAAACACATTTCCCACAAACTCGATATTACCATAGTCATGTTATCTCAAGCGCTTGCCTCGATTCTGAAGTGGAGAGAGTAGCGGAACTAGCAATTAGGAAATCAGAGAGACGCCTAGCACATGCGCAAACAACAGCATCTTCTGATCGGTCTCTCGCTGGACGAGAAGCTTGCAGTGAAGAACTTCCTAGACGATAATTTCTAGTTACGTGTGGTGGTACAAAAAGAAGCCCCATTACCTTACGCGACAACAAAGAAACCAGAAAGAAATCACGTCGGGAATAGATGCTGGCCATCAAGAAAGCATGACCCAAGCACGCGACCGTCTGGAAGAAGGGCTGGATTGGGCAAGAAAACAGTACCTTAAAGTTTGGCAACGACTATGTTATTTTGATTGTTATACCTCTGGTCATCCCTTGAATCGTGCAATCCAGTGCCTTCGAGAGGATCCCAAGTGGTACTTGTCGGAAACCCTACGCAGGGACTGCGCTAGACGAGGGGTCTACTGCGGTCGCCAGTGCGGATGCTGTGAGCGATCAAGGAGTACTGTTAGGCCTCTGGCTCTGGGTCATTGTACGCTGGCCTGTCAGTGTTGTATCGGCTACCAAGGGTTCGAGGAGGAGATAAATCACAACTTTGAATCGGGTCGCCCTCCGATTGACGTGATGGCCATGGATGACGAATGCTTTTGTCTGGGGACCACCAATAATGCAATGATCTGCTCCACGAGCGGGTTTTTGAAAGGTTGAGATATTGCAGATAGAGTACAGCCACGAATTGATGTTTTTGCTCTCACTAAGACCAAGTATGAAAGCTTTGTAGAAGTATCCATTTTCCATTCGTATGAACTGATTTCCATACAGCATCACTCTTTCCTTCATGGCGCAGTTTATCTGACTGCTTCTCTTTTCCCAAATCTTCGATCGTTCGATTGCATCTAGGTAGGTGACCCACTACCTTGCTAATATTCAACGGTCATTGAGTATTAATACAGCACACAAAACTACCATTTCGACATACAACCTCCCTCGATGGGCAAGCAAATACCATTCACATACGATGAACTGTCCGAAGCAAGCCAAAGCGACCCCTGGGCCACTTCGTGCGGCTCTCCAAAACGATTCAAGCTGCTAATATTGAGTGCCATTTCCTCGTGCGTGACGCCAATGATCTTTAATGCCGTCGCAGACATCTCGCTCTGTTGCTGTTAGTACAGAGCGGCGTCCTAGAAGAAGGAATGAAGCAAGAAGGAAGCATACATAGATCGCCCCTGGTGCAACAGCATTAACTCGAATGCCTGCTGGGCCTCCCTCTGTTGCCGCATGCTTGGTCAATCCCAGCAACGCATGCTTGCTTGCTGTGTATGCTGGCATGAGCGGCTGCGTCATGTACGCGTTGACGGAGGCGATGTTGACAATAGATCCCTTTGATTTCTGTCTCAGCATCTGCTGCATCTCATACTTGCAACATAAGGCGGTGCCCGTAAGGTTTACGTCGAGTAATCTTCTCCAATAGTCCTCGTCGAAATCAACCAACGTAGTCTTGTCCGGAATCATGGCAGCGTTGTTGACCGCCACATCAATTCTTCCGAAGGCCTTGACGGTCTCCGAAATGAGGCTTTGAACATCTCCTGACTTGGAGATGTTGGTTTGCACAAACCGGACATCGCCCATAGAGGATAGCTCCTCCGCCGTCTGCGCACCCTCCGCTTTTAAATCAGCTATAATCACTTTGGCTCCGGCTCGCAAGAACACCGATGCGGTTGCTTTGCCCATGCCTTGCGTACCGCCCGTGATGATCGCGGTTTTGTTCCTCAGGACAGGAAAGATGGGGGCTTCGGGGACTGGTTTGGGGACAGAGCTCGTGGCTACGAAACGAAATACACGAGGAGCCCAAGTTGATTGAACGAGACGGCCTCTTGACCGAAAAGAAAACCGATACATTTTGTACATATTTTATTCGACTAGCTCTCAGGGCTCGGATTCGGTAAGAATATAGTTAGCTGAAGCGCAGCCAGATAGAGACTTTCGTTAGACAATTGGTTTTGTATCTGGGTTCTCTTGGATCGGCGTCTGCTAAAGGGTTGTCTTGAGGGGCTATCTTGAGGGGACGTCTGTGCCAGGAATGATCGACTTCTTATAAGATTTGACATCAAATCAAGGTTACCCTAGCCATCATGGATTTAACAAAACCTAATCCGGCGCTCAGTCGCGAAAAAGTTTGATTAACAAACATTTATCATATCTTGAAATCAGGGTTCAGACAGCCAGGTTAGTGGGGTTAACAGTAAATCTACACTCACTAACCTTGCTCTGGGCAGCATAGTGTGCCAAGCAGAGTTGGAACCTTCAACAGCTATCAGAAATTAATCCCCTGATTCCCCATGAAAGATGCAGTATCCGTGCCCAGGTTTTTTTGGATGCCTGAGATGCCAGGTGCCAAGTGCCAAGCATTGCGCCCATTGTCTCCTCCTTCCCGCGTCGCATTTCTGTTTATCCCCAGTTGTCTTGTCTAACCTTTTAGCGGCAAACCCTACGATGGTTAACTATTGGATTCCTCACTTCCTGCGACGGGACTATACCTGGCCCCAGCCGATGTCGCCAACGATCGCGAAGATAACTCCCCCCGTGCCATCGATTCCCGGAAGGACCTCCAGAAGACTCTGGGGCATCGTTCACGGCGCGCTGAAACACCTCTCACAGTGGTATTGTGATTGGCTCGGCATAGTCGATCCCTTTATTATGCATCTGCCCTTCGGCCTGGTCTTGAAGTGGACGAATCGAACGAGTCTCGAGGAGGTCGCTTCAATGAAAATGGCCCGCGCCGCTGGGATGCCCGTACCCAAGGTCATATCTTGCGGGGAGCACCCAAATTCTTCCCCGTTCCTTTACTCGATTTTAATGACTCGTTTACCTGGCATTGAACTTGTGAATATGAGTGAACCCCTGCAAGTAGAAGCAGAAGAACCATGGCTTTTTGAGCTCAAAGAATGCGTCGATGCCATGCGACAATGGACGCCGCCTGATCCTCACCGCATATCTTCAGTTATCGGGACCTCAATCCGGAGCACAAGAGTGCCATTCCACATCATGGGCCCATTCGCTACCGAGATCGAACTCCACGATTTCCTGTTAAGCCCGGTCAGTGGACACGGCATTAAATCCACAGATGAATATCTACAAAAAATTAAGCATGCAAACGAAATCCGCCAATATCCACACCTGGTGACATTCACTCACGGCGATCTCAAGGCACATAATATTCTGGTTGGCGACGATGGCCATCTTTCTGGCTTCATTGACTGGGAGTCTGGGGGCTGGTGTCCTGAGTACTGGGAATTCACGACTGCTATGAGATTTCAACGGGATAGCTGGTGATATTAAGTAGCCGACTGGATGGGTGGTAATCGATATCGCAAGCAGTTGGAATGTGATCGGGCGCTGGACAATCTGACTGTAGATTCTTACATCGCGTTCTAGGTATGGTTAAATCGACGGCTTTCAGTCTAGTTTCGTAGACACAGTCTCAACTAGGCTGTCAGGCGTGGATTGGACGGAGGTGTAGGAGGGAAGTAGCCGAGTCAACATAATTGATAGACTTCTTTCAGCTTGTTTGGATGTCGAGGTCTTCGTGCAGGATTTGAGTAGTTATTGGATCATGAAGGTTTCGTATTGCCTAGTAATTTGTATGCAGAATCGAAGCTCAATGAAAGTCTGATCATCTTGATTTAGACGATCGAAACGAAGCTATTTAAAGTGCAATATGACTACGTGCTTCTTTGAAATCGGCTTATCTTGAAGCCATGAAATGCCCTCAGAGTTGATCTAGACGGCAAGCGGCAAGGTGTTGAATCCTAGCCGTAAAATTGCCCCATCTTCGCTGACAGTAGTATAGAAGTGAATGAAGTCATAACGATCTACATGATCTGTGGGTCGTAGGACCTCGCTAAACCCTATTAGGTAGGGTCAGTAGGCTGCTCACAACCGATGCCTGAGGCTTCAGAATAAATAACGATATTCTATATTTTTCGCTGAGATGCTTCAATAAGGGCGAAAAATTGGTCTTGAGCTATTCAATAAAAAAGGGGATAGATAAATCAGGTTGCCACTGAGGTTATCCTAGTCAAGAAAAAAATCCTTTTAGAATTTATTTTCCGTCGACCCTGATGATCGCCTTCTGTAATTCTATCCCTCCGTTGTGTTGATGGCCAGGTTAGCATTGAACTGTAAGAGGGTATTCATTTGACATGACAGTGAAGAATTTAACTGATTTAAATTGTCAGTCGCCAATCACTAGTGCAGAATTGCATGGGACTAGAATTGTGTAGGTTTGCAGAGAAAGCCAACCGTCTCCAAGCCATCTCCAAAACACCTCCACACACCGCAATCAGTAATTGCTGTGGCCATTGGAGACACCACGAAGAAAAAAGAAGAATCAGTCCTCAAGTTACTAATTGCTCCGATCGAAATTTCTTACAAATCTAAGCATCCTCGAGAACAAGATGGCGAACCTGAAGCAGTATAAATGGTATTGTGCGGCCCTACCCAGGTTGCTTACTGCTACCAAATCACCCTCAAAAGTTCAAACATTAGGCTACAATGGCAGCCAAATGTGTTCGCGACAGCTTCATAGGCGAGTTTCTTCGTCTAATTGGCAAGCCGTCCTGGTTGAAATACGATGAAGAGCATCCTCAATGGCAAAGCAAATTCGATTGCGAAAAGGCGGATGACGACCAGACTATCCCAGTGGATTGGTATTCCGAAGACGATGCAGAGAACCCACGCAACTGGTCTCAGGCCAAAAAGGCTTTTGTGCCTTTTGTCATCGGCATCTACAGCTTTGTCGTGTATATGGCAGCGCCGATTTACACGCCCAGTGAAGATGCCTTCATCCAGGAGTTTGATGTCAACAAGGCCGAGGCAGCCCTAGGGTTGGCTATCTACGTGTATGTTCTACTCAATCGCAAAACAGTATACATCCGATTCTAATCTTTGATTACTTCACATAGGCTTGGGTACGGAACCGGTCCTCTCTTCTTCAGTCCCTTGAGTGAGATTCCTCGTATCGGACGGAATCTACCATATGCAATATCGTTCTCCCTATTCTGCATTATCAGCATCCCGACATCCATCGCCCCAAATGCGATCGGTTTCTACTTCCTGCGCTTTCTTCAAGGCTTCTTTGGAAGTCCATGTCTCGCTACCGGAGGCGCTTCGATTGCCGACGTATACTCGCCGGACGTGCTCCCTCACGCTATGACAACCTGGGTATATTCCGTCTTCTGCGCTCCCGCCATCGGCGTTCTAGTCTCTGGATTCGCAATCCCAGTCCTAGGCTGGCGGTTCTCCATGTGGGAGATTCTGATCGCAGCTGCCCCAGTCCTCATCCTGATCTTCCTCCTTCCCGAAACCAGCCCATCCACAATCCTCTACCGACGTGCAAGACGTCTCGAAAAGCGCAACTCCCAAGGACCGTACAGATATCGCTCGACCGCCGAAATCGCTCAATCAAACCTATCCTTCCACACCGTGGTGCGCGAATCTCTACTCATCCCTCTCAAAATCACCTTCCTCGATCCAGCCATCCTTTTCCTGAACTGCTACACCTCCCTCACCTACGGCATCTACTACTCCTTCTTCGAGGCCTTCCCCATCGTCTACCAAGAGATTCACGGCTTTAACCTCGGAGAAATGGGCCTCGCCTTCCTCGCTATCGTCGTCGGCACCTCCATCTCCTTCCTCATCTACAACCTCTACATCTACAAGATCTTCATCCCCCGATCCCAAGCAGGGGGGTTCAAGAACCCCGAAGACCTCCTCATCCCAGCTCTATTCGCCTGTTTCGGCCCATCTATCGGTCTATTCTTGTTCGGGTGGTCTGCTCGCCCTGAGGTCCATTGGATCGTCCCAACAATCGGCATTGTCATATACCCTGGCTGCGTGTTCATTCTGATGCAATGCGTCTTTCTGTATATCCCGGCGTGTTATCCGCAGTATGCGGCGAGCGTGTTCGCGGCGACGGATTTCACTCGAAGTGCGTTTGCCTGCGGAGCGGTTATCTTTTCGACTCCCCTGTATCGGAACCTGGGGGTCGGGAGGGGCTGTAGTTTGCTGGCGGGTTTGACGGTGGGATGTGTGGTGGGGATTTATTTGTTGTATAATTTTGGGGCGAGGTTAAGGGCGAAGTCGAGGTTTGTGTCGAAGTGGTGATTGGGTTTTGTCTATGGATTTCATATTTAATATTTCTTCATTCAGGGTAGAATATCTTTGATGATAGAGTTGGATTTTGGCGTTTAAGACACGGGCTCATACAAAATTAAACAACTAGGCTTGGGTTAAAATATACTTCTCTCGACATCCATCAGCATAAATGTCCAGGCTCTCTCCAATAACTCCCAGTAGTGCCCACTGCCCGTTTCCCCTAATAAGACGAGCCCATAACTTCACAACAAGAAAGGCCAGGTATCTGTAATTAGAAGGATATACTGGTTCGGGACAAAGATCCTCGTCACCGGATGTTCGCCCTTCCTCGACGATGTCACTGATCCAATTTATCGATCGGGTTTCATGCTCTATTGCGGAATTAGCACTGGTCAAAAAGGATCTCTGCATCCAATAGACAGGATACTTGGTTGAACATACCATCAAGAGGTCTTGTCGCATGAGTATCGCAGATATGGTACAGCCATTTACAAAGATAAACCGCGAATTCAAACCCACAGATGGAATGTTGAATACTCCATACAAAAGCATGGCTTCGCGCAACGAAATCCACCCCCAGTTTGACGGGTATGCTTAGGGCGTGGGTTGCATGGAGCATTGCAGGAAGGAGATGGGGGCCGTGAGGAAGATCTGGTAAGTTGAGAAGTCGGGTGGCGATTTCCTGGGGGCTTCGAGATTCCAGAATTTTGTATGAGGCCATGTCGAAGGCGAGCCGGACGTATGAAAGACCGAGCAGAGCAGTTGACGTGAAAGTAACGGGTCCATTCGGGTTTCGAGGATCAAGACTAGACTCGGGGGCTCGTTGCCATTGGAAAGTCCACGCTCGAAGAGAATCTCTATAAATAACTATGAGGACTAGTTAAATGGACGTGAGGTTTTTCACTTACCGCATGCTTTCATTTTGAGCAACTAACAAAGCGTTTCCGCGACCAAGGGTCCAGCCGATGGTCCGATGCGTCAGCGTGATCTTTTGTATGAGACCGTGGAGAAGGATATAGTTTGCTAAAGGTGAGGGTATTGGTTGCGACAAGAAAAAATTTGAACTGGGAACACCTTTCCCCAAGTGACCGAGTGCATCCTGGAAAAGCATTTGCTCCTGGTGACCGTAAGCATGAATTGCTGAAAATCTCTCCTGGTTCGGACATATCCATTCGATGCAGGTGCATGGAAGGCGAAGATGAACTTCATCGGCTAGAATGATTGGAGGTACCCCAAAAGCTATACTTTGCAAGTTAAGCCAAGCAAAAGAGAAAAGTTTAAGTCGCCTGTTTGTCTCTTGCTCAATCCATGTGTGCCAGTCGAGAGGAGTAGCTTGAAGAGTCTCTTCGCTCTCTTCTAGTCCACCTTCTCGGACGCATCTTGCTAGAAAACTCTGAAGGTTGAACGCTTCCCGTACTATCTCTGGTTCGCCCTGCCACGTTGCAAATGCGATCAGGTAGAGAGCGCAACGTGTTTCACACATAAGCTCCTGATATGGGAGGCCCTTGGCGCTAGATCGGTCCTGGCCTGTATTCGTATTTGTATACGGACTCAAAGAATATTTTATGTTGATCGCTCTTGCTTCTCGCTCATGCAATTCTTTCTTCAGTGTTGATTTGGCCGCATAGAATAACATGACCGCTTTCCGGTGCTCGTGCCGATATTGAGCTCCCAGAGCAGCCATGGCTAGAGTGATCTTAGCGTCGCAGTTATCTAGACTGAACGTTGGTATGTGCACCACGGGCATATGTGGATAGAAGCTATCAAAAAATGCGTTTGTAAATCGACTCAAGGACTGGGACGATGGTAAGGCAAAGTTTATGCCGGTGACCTGAGCACTTTCCAATTCTTCGAGGAGATGCTGACGATGTCCCTCAGTGACTCTGAGAATGGGTAATGTTAAAACCCCAAATTCTCCTGTGCATCATTTCTATTAGATTCCTTTCCTCGGGTTTCGGAATCTTTGACCATTTACCTATCGAATCTTTCTCAACTGGGAGTTGGGTGAGAGAATGGTCTACATGGACAGAACTCGAACGTTCCTGCCGTCTCGAACGGTCCGACAGCGTTGGAATGGAATAGTAATTGGGTTCTTTAGCAATGATCGGTGTCAGACCCAGCTCAGTCGGCAATGTCCAGTCGGAAGTCAGCCCCATGCTGTGGCTGAAGGAAAAAAATTCTTCCAGGGGGTCATATCCAGTGATAAATGGGAAATTCCCTGTCGACAGTCAGCTCCTTGGCTCGTGATAGTTGATATGGTACGATGGGTAAGGCATCAAATTTGATCTACGCGTGAACTCCTACCTGCCGGTGGATAACCATGAGTTTCCACAGATTCAACAGGTCCGCTTGAGATTTCCGGGACTGTCCAAGGGATATTTTCCGTTTCTAGATGGCCACTCTGTATTGCTTGAATTTGGCTACTAGTTCCCGAAGCTGGGGAATGTTGCTGCGTTATTGGAGTAATCGGTGAATGGGTCGCGGCATGATGGCGCTTCAATAGATCACGTCGAGCAAAGGAAGCACCACAAGCACATGTATAGGGTTTCTCATTCGTATCTAATGCAAGTCAGCCCCAATTGAAAATTGCCTCTGTTTAAAAAGGCACGACGTACGAATGCGAATATGTCGTTGGAGATGTTCATGGCGGCGGAAATGACGTTTACAGTGAGGGCAGGTTCGGGGCTTCCGGCGAGAGACCGGCTGAATCTCGGAATCAACTTCCGGTGGGGATTGATCCATGCTATCGATAAAAGATTCGAATTCCCCAATCTACAATAATAGAATAGAGATTTCTGCAAGAAATTTGAGCAGGTGAGAAGCTGCGTCGCCTCCATGCCTGCTCCAGGTCATCATGCCGAATCTTGTTAATCAGCTCGGCGAGAGTGGAGAACCTCCATCTACCTCCACACCACCTCCAATCGGTGATGAAAGATGATACAAATCGATTTATTGTCAGGTTGACCGTCAATGCGTTAAAGTTTCCTACATTTGAATGGAAGGATAAGAGCACTTTGACCATTGAAACTGGTACAATTATCCACCCCTAACATCCCATGATTCCATCACAGTAGATTGACAGCGGAAAACCCCGGACCTAAAAACGCATTTAAATAATACCAACCGTCCAAGAGTTTCCGATGGCAGTAACATAGTAAATATGTCTCTTGGTAATATTCAGCTTTCTACTTTTCATCTTCTCGGTATAACATTAAAACAAATTATTCACGTGATAACCGCATCACCCAAAGGCGCCTCTCTTCCCTGGCCACAACACATTCCTTGCTTGACTACCGACCCTAATGGCTCAACATCGTCATCAATCATCTGTAGAATCGGCATTGGACTTCTCACCATCGCTATTCTTAACAATTCAGCAGAATCAACGCGCCCAGTCACTTCTCAATAGACTTATTCAGCATTATGGCCTCCAAAGCACTGTACAAAAGGGCTACAAGCCTACAGTACTTATCAAGGAAATATTCGAGCGCTTAAAGCCCAAGACATGTTTCTGAGATTTTTCTTTTCGTATATTCATGATTTTTCCGGCTTAGGCAAAGAATCTGGCTTCGACACTAATTTTTCTCTTATTTTATCTTCTGCCGACAATTTTGTTGGGGACCCACGAACGGACGCATGCGAAAAGAACAACGTTAATCTTGTCGTTGAGAATTTCGCAGAGTATATCGTTCATAACTTTCTCTTTCCTCATATGTAAGTCTTTCTTTTTTTTAGATGTGTTGATCCTGCTGCTAACTGGCATACCAGTCAAGGCTTCATCCGCAAAAACACCGCAAGCAACGCCTACATCACTATCCCCAATACAAACATCTACACCGACCGGCACAAGGCAGCGCGTATCTATTCTGCAACAAAGCTGCCTCTTGCGTGATATCTCGTAAATTAGATAGAGTCGAAACCAGAAAGCGCACAGAGCGCAATGGAAACGATTGCGAAGATGATTATGGAAACCTTTTAAGGAATGCATCCCCAGGTGGATTTCAGTATCTAGAAGTTGCACTTCTTCCTCATTGTCTAACGACGATCGGGTCAGGAGATACGGATTTGGTACGCTTTATGGACTACTAATGCTTCCTGTGCTCATGTAGGTTCTAGAGCGAATCAAAGAAGAATGTACTTCGCATATTGGACATGTTTAAGCCAGGGCTTAGCCACCGTCTTGATGGCCCGAAAATTGACAGTCCTATAAACGCTCTAACACTCACACTCGACTATCACTGATTATTTGGTGAGCTCCAGATATGCTTTGAATGGACAGGAAGAATAAGATCGGTTCGCTGGAGCAGAGTTCTTTCCTGCATGATCCATTCTTTCCGGTTACTCGCACTCTTACTTTAAGCCCTAGCCGTACAATTGATCCACCTGACACTGGACTTCTCCGCGTCCATTGCGCTATTGCACATATTATGAAACTCAGCGGTGCAGGTGGATATATCGAGAAACTTCTTCGGGATATGGAGGAAGTGGATGTTAAAGCTGATGGCTCTACAAACTTGGGATTCTTAACGGGTTTACATCTGGGGGCAATCTAGAAGCCTGAGGTACGACCAGCCTGAGTATGTCTATTGTCCTATATAACAAATTAACAATCTTTATTCCCGTGTTAAGTGATGAGATGCATCACATAGGCATCACAATATTCACTTCTGTCTAATCAAAGACTCCAATTAATCAAAATCAATCAAAATTCTATTGACCTGATGAAGCCTATCTAGAATTTCATATTTCATACACCGTAATCCCACAATACAGCAAACAAATAAAAATACAAACACAACCAAAACAACTTACTGCACCTCTTTAGGCACTGTACACTCCTTCCGCTCTACACTATATGGATATTCTTCTGCGCACGTCACTACGGCTAATCAAGACCCTAACCCGCCACTTAAAGTAAAGTTCCTTATAATCATTATCTTCCTCTCCTAGATTAAGTTATTCTTAAAGGGTACTGGATTCCGGAGGCTCGTCAAAACTTCCTCACTTAGTTAAACAAAGCAGAATTGCTGGAGGCTTGTTTGGTGTATGAATTTGGTAATATAGCGGGTTGACTATAGGCATAAACTAACTATGTTGTAGTTCTATGTACGCTCACGCAGCCCCTCGATCGTATTAGAGCGCTTTGTCAATTTCCTGCGGTAGGTGGTGTGCAGCAAACACTCTAAAAAGACGTGTCTAGGAATCTGCAACCCTAGATCACATTCGTACCTGTCCGAGTCGACCTGCTTTATCCTGTAGAGGAAGTGCCTTAATCCTATCATCGTGTCATGCATCTTAATCTTACATATTGTTTTGCTGGATTAAAAAAGTATATATTTCAGAAGATCCAGGACTCCATAGACTTACCATATTGAGCTACAATGCGATAATAGTTGGAATCCAACACCATGCCTGTTTGATAATTCCAACACGTAACTATGTGATGAAATCCACGCCTATCACTCACTAATTTCTCCATTCTCCCCATGTTTGACGTAAGTCATACCCCCATGAATTCTCCCACGGCCGAAAGCCAGCGCATGCGCAGGCTGTCGTAAGCGGGGAGAATCTCCTTGATTGACAGGCGAGGCGGAGAATTTCCAGTTCAGCAGGAGAACGCGGAGAGGCCGGAGAGACCAGAGAGACCCCAGACTGACACCACGAGCGACGTGACTGGCTGGCTGCAGGATTGCGGGAGTTCGTTGAGCCTGGGGGCGGGTAAACGGACAGCAACTGGAGTCTGGAGCAACCATCAGCCCGCGTGCAGTGTGGGGTTTTGGGGAAGAAGGGAGAACCCCGGGATTGCTAAAAGCCGCTTAGATTAATAATAAAGGTCAGCTGCGTCCCCTCCGCATTCTAGAATTTTGCCTGCGTAGTGCCTCAATAGTTAATATATATCGCTGGGGCGCGCTGACATCCGGTGGCTCCGGAGGTGTCAGAATCAAATCTCCTGGTATGGAAGGTTCCACGAGTGTTTGCCTTTTTGCACTGTAACCACTCTTGGATTATTGGATTTGGCAGGTTGACGTCTTGGTCAACGTGGGGTGGAGGACTGGACATGATGTTCAACGGTGATTTAATTGTACATAGAACGGGTTGCAGGGAGCCAGTGACAGCTTGAAACAAACGAGGCAAATTGCTTTCGCGAGGGAGGGGGAAAGCCGAAGTTCTGCCTCCCATCTCCAGGAGAGAGAGAGGAGAGAGTGATCTACATTCTCCCGATCGCGTTGGCCCCTGGCGCTGGGTCTCGTCTATCCTTCTCCGTCCGGCCACGGCGGGTCACCTGACTCGCCACGGTCAGGTGACCGCCACGGTTGCCACGCGATGCTTAGCAAAGCTTCGGTTCCTCGCCCCGATCTCGGCTTCACTCTGTCTTTCATCCTCGCTGAGGTGCCAGTGACGCTGTCAACAACTGATCTCATCATGCTGATCTCCACGCTGTAGTGGCGACATCTCGCCCTTTAAGCCAAATCCAAATCCAAATCCAAATTCAAACATCTGCAGCTGGACAGTCGGCGATCGGCAAAGGGACGTGTTTCGGGCGCTCGGGAATCGTCCGAAAGACCAATGATGCCCCATGCTGAGAATAGGGTTAAGGGCTCATCCCGTCCCGATCGCGCTGATGGGCCGTGGTCGGTGGCCCTGGGAAAAAGTGCAACACTACTACGAAGTAGGAATAGAGATAGACTACGGACACCGGCCGGTCCGGCTAATGGATCTCGGTGGCCTCTCTCTAACAACTAGGACCAGAGCTTCCAGCCGAGCCGGCCAAGAACCTTGGATAGGCTCCATCCAGCGAACACGGTTTTGCTCACCGTCACAAACTCTGTCTCTGCTGGAGGAGAATCTGCCGTGCCTTCCTCGGGTCTCGGTCCTGGACGGCACTTGTCCACTAGTTCTGCACGCTTGTTTGCGACTGCCACGGAGTCCTGTCCACTCGACGGATGGATCTGAACTCAACGAATTGCATTCCCTGGTCCTCCAGGGGAGCGTGGCGTACCAGTGATATATGAATATGATCGTCGCGGCTGAATGTTCTTTTTCTCGCTAGAGCTAGAACTACTTACCCACCGGCCAAGCGAACCAATTTAGCTTGGGGAAAACACTTCCCCGGCCGTGGTGTCCACCGAATGGAGATCGTGGGAATTTTTCACAGGTCAAGTGCACCAAAATCCTTACATCTATAGGATGAATTAGATTTTTCAGCGTATCGCAAGTTCGCTTTCTATCCCCCTCAAGCCCCAGTATGGGGTTAATCACGACGTAAGGTGTGGAGAGGGTTCGAAAAGACAGAAACCCACACCGGTGCCGCCTCTAGAATCCTAGATATTACTGAGGGTCCCGGTCCCATTTTCTTTTCTGTCAACAACTTCAATCATACGATTTCAATCTTCTCTCTGTTCAACTCTTTTCTACCTCCCCTACCGCTGTCTATCCCGCAGCAATGGGCGTTCTACACGTCGTTGAGGACCGGCCGACTCCCAAGTCTGTCTACAACTGGCGAGTCTATGCTCTCGCCGCCGTCGCATCATGCGGTTCCAATATGATCGGGTACACCAGTGCCTTCATCGGCACGACAATCACGCTGCCGTCCTTTACAAAGGAATTCGGTCTTGACGAAATGTCCGACGACCACGTTGATTTGATCAGCGAGAACATCGTCTCTCTCTTCATCGCCGGTGCGTTTTTCGGTGCTCTGTTTACCTACCCCATCGGTCATTATTGGGGCCGGAAATGGAGTTTGGTCATTGCCGCTGCCATGTTCATCTTGGGCGCCGGTTTGCAGGTGGGCGCGACGGGCGCTCGCGGTCTCGGTATCATGTACGCTGGTCGTGTTTTGACCGGACTGGGTACCGGTGTGGCCTCGAACATCATCCCAATCTACCTTTCGGAACTGGCACCCCCTGCCATCCGTGGACGACTTGTCGGTTTCTACGAACTTGGATGGCAAGTGGGTGGCATGGTGGGATTCTGGATCAACGTGAGTGCATTTGTCCGTCTCCTTGTTGTAAAGTTTATGAATTAACTGTTTATGATTCAGTATGGTGTTGAAAAAACCATGGATTCCACCCATCAACAATGGATCATTCCATTCGCTGTCCAAATTGTTCCGGCCGGTTTGCTTTTGGTCGGTACTCTCTGGATGAAGGAATCCCCTCGCTGGCTATTCCTCAAGGGCAAACGCCAGAAAGCCATGGCCAACCTGTGTTGGATCCGCCAGCTGGAGGAGACCGATATTTACATTGCCGAAGAAGTGGCGGCCATTGATCAAGTCCATGAGGAGCAGGTCGCCACCGTCGGTATCGGATTCTGGAAGCCATTCCAATCCCTCGCTTCTCGCCCTCCGATGATGTACCGCCTGTTCTTGGGTTGCATGCTGTTCTTCTGGCAGAACGGATCTGGAATCAACGCAATCAACTACTACAGCCCGACTATCTTCAAGAGTATCGGTGTCGCCAGTGAGACTGTTAACCTGACCACGGGTATCTTCGGTGTCGTCAAGGCCGTGATGACCTTTGTCTGGCTATTGTTCCTCGTTGATCAACTGGGACGACGAATGCTGCTTTTGATTGGTGCTATTGCTGGTTCGATCTGCATGTTTATCATTGGCGCCTATATCTGTGCCGTCAAGCCCGAGGAGAACCCCACCGACCACCTCAACAGCGGTGGAATTGCATGCATCTTCTTTTTCTACCTTTGGACTGCCGTTTACACTCCGTCATGGAACGGCACCCCTTGGTTGATCAATTCCGTAAGTTGACTCCGTTGGTGTTACCTCAAACCCGTCTAACAGAAAAACAGGAATTCTTCGATCCCAACCTCCGTTCTCTGTGTCAAGCGGCCACTACTGCCAGCAACTGGCTCTTCAACTTCCTGATTGCCCGGTTCACCAAGCAAATGTTTGCGAGCATGCATTACGGTGTCTATTTCTTCTTCGGAGCTCTGTCGTTCCTTGCCTTCTTCTTCGCCTTCTTCCTCATTCCCGAAACCAGTGGTATCCCGCTGGAGCAGGTTGATCGTCTCTTCAAGATCAAGCCTATCTGGAATGCGCACAAGCAACTTAAGGCTGAACTGAAGGAGGACGAGGAGCGGTTCCGCTTTGACCTGAAAGAAGGTTCTTACGAGAAGGAGAGACAGGAGCACCTGGAGAATCAGAGTGCGGAGAACCAGAGCACCAACACATAAATTGATCTGCATAGACTTTGTATATATGGGGTTAGACGTGTTTATAGATGATTTGGCTTTGTTTATCGATTTGAGCTTGTATTTCTTTGGTTCTGTGCAGGATCTGGCGCTATGATGTTTTCTAGCTTAGCAATGAATATCTTGAACATAAAGACTCCTGTCCCTTACGTACCTTGCTGTATAGTTAGTTACGGGTTCTTGGCACCGGGTTACCTAAGCGCAGGCAGTACCGAAATGCGTGCCGAGCGAAGGATGACATGAGGGGAACGTCGCGCATTGTTCCTCCCATCATCTTGATAATTGCACCCTCTCGCGCCAATGGCCCTGGATCAGCAAGAAGCCGGGCTGCCCGCATGTCGTTCTTTCTGGGTAAGCTTGCAGCCTCGAATTCTTCCCAATTTTTCGTTCTTGGCGCTGATTTACCTCCCCAGGACTCGGACAGCGCCCGATTGTCGCCATGTGCAATGCGCTATGTGTCAGTAGTGCCTGGCATTGCTATCATCACAATCGCTGTCTTACAGATCCTTGGACGTCTGTTACATAAATGGCGTCCAAAATGGACCAGACCGTTCATCCCAGAGCCCTCGCCGCTCCCTGAGCTGGCGTCGAGAACAGGACCTCAGCGACTAGGCTGGGTGATATCCTTGCTTGCCGTCTCCATTGTCGGCTTCGTGGCTGAACTCATCAAAGTCATCCCCAATGGGTCAGATAGCGCCAATTACATCCTGTTGGTGTCTTGGGTGAGTAGGAATTTGATCCGTGTCAATTACTGACTAACTGGCTGTAGGCTCTGACCGCCGCCTTGATTGCCAGGGAACGACCCCGGTCTAGTCCCGTCTCTCTGCTTCTGTATTTTGGAACTGCATTCGCAGTAGAGGCTGCATATATCTTGAATGAAAATTTATACGGTGTGCATAAATTATTCGCCTACTATCTTGCCGCGGGCGCTGCAGCGGCGGCCTGCGTGGCCATCCTTGTGATGCCCCTACGGGAGCCCTCCCTCCCATGCATTGACATCGGCGTTGTCGGACAGGCACCATCAGCCGACTTCCGCAGCCCGGAGGATAACCTGAGACTTTGGCAATTCCTCAGCGTGTCGTGGATGGCCCCTTTGATGTCCTTGGGGAAACAAAGGCAACTGAACGAGGACGATGTATGGTTTCTGGGATTTGAGTTTCAACATCGCCGGCTGCACGAGAAGTTCCGCAAACTCCAGGGATCAGTTGTCACTCGGTTGCTGCAGGCCAATGGAATCGATGTTCTTATTATTACGTTGATTTCCATCGTGCAGATGCTTTGCGGTTAGGCATTTCGAGTCCCGTCTGAGCTTGAGTATCACTGACATTTCTTTAGGCTTTTCTGTACCCGTTCTCCTGCAGCAACTTCTGAAAGCAATGAATTACACGGGTGGAAAGAGAGCTGCTTTGACTTATGCTCTTTTGTCCCTATTTCTTCGTTTTGTGTCTGCCCAATTGCAGGTGCTGAATATCTGGTATGGTAGGAGGTGCTACGAGAGAAGCAGGGGTGAGATGATGATGATGATTTATGAAAAAGCGTTATCTAGAAAAAACGTCTTTGAGCAGCAGGTCGAGGACAAGGAAGAGGAAGAGCAACTTCCAAATGGAGACGATAGCAATGGTGATGTCAAAAGTGGTCCCAAGCAGCGGAAGCTCTGTGGACTTTTCAATCGATCGCAAAGCCCAAAGCAAGAAAGGCCAAAGACGGCGGCTTCCATGGGAAAGATCTTCAATCTTCTTCGTGGAGACGCCTACGAGGTAGCCCAGCGATTCTGGGAAGTTGACCGTCTTATCGACAAGCCCTTAGGTCTGATTATTGCTATTGCTCTTGTTTGGAAGCTACTTGGACCTTCATGTTTCCTGGGCATTGTAGCTATTCTGGCCGGCCAAGCGATCAATGCTATCATCACCCGTACGCTCTTCAAATGGGAGCGTGTCCGCAGGCTGGCGAGTGATACTAGGCTACAGATTTCTTCCCAGTTTGTGGAAGCGCTCCGTCACCTTCGTTGGTATGGGTGGCAGAACCATTGGCTCGGTCAGGTCCTTGATGCACGTCAGTCCGAATTGAATCTTCGAATCATTACCAGTCTTTGGACAGTTTTGATTCAGTTTGTCAACGTGTTCACGAGTGGCTTGTTTCCTGTGGTGGCATTGTATGCTTATACGCTGCTGGCAGGTCATCCCCTTCGGATTGACATTATCTTCCCTGCATTGCAGCTGTTCACGATGCTGGAAAGTCGCATACGAGAGATCCCCATGCTCATCACAATACTCATAAATGCATCAATTTCAGTGGAGCGAATTGAGGATTTCATGCACGAGCCAGACAAGGAAACGAAAGATATGCCGAGCGATTCCGACTCTTCGCTACTGTTGGATTCGTGCTCATTTGCTTGGCCCGGGAGGAAATTCCCCGTGCTATCGGATGTCAATATCAAGATCTCCCAGGGACTGACTGTCATCTGTGGCAAGGTCGGCGCAGGAAAGACCGCACTGCTCCAAGCGTTACTGGGTGAACTAGACCGCGTCGACGGCGTTACACACATTCCGAATGAGATGGTTGGGTATTGCTCTCAAACGCCCTGGTTGCAAAGTATGAGCATCCGAGACAATATTCTCTTTTCATCGCCTTACGATGAGCAGCGGTATAAACGCGTGCTCGAGGCTTGCGCTTTGCTTCCCGATCTCGCCAATTTTAAACATGGCGACCTTTCGTTCGTTGGAGAGAATGGTGTCGGTCTTTCGGGGGGACAGAAGGCACGCGTTGCTCTTGCTCGAGCAGTATACAGCGCGGCAAGTATTCTCCTCCTTGATGATCCGCTGTCCGCCTTGGACCACAACACAGCGGAGACAATTGTCCGCAGGTGCTTTTCGGGTCCTTTGATGCAGAATCGAACCGTTGTTCTTGTCACGCACCGCACCCATCTTGTTGGCCACATTGCGGATCAGATTATCCAAGTTCAACATGGTCGGGCCACAGTTCAAAACCGACAGTCTGCAATCGCGTCTCATGACTCCAGTGCCGACGATACTTCATCGTCTCATACAGTGGATAATGAGTCCGAAGCTGAAGCAGAAATCGAGGATAACGCGGGTGCGGTACCGGACAAGTTCATTGAAGAGGAACACCGGGCCGAATGGGGTGTGAAGGCCCGGGTCTACTGGAACTACATCAGAGCCGGAAAGTATAAATGGTGGTCTGCCCTTGTTGTCGTCGTGGCGGTGTCTCGAGTCACATCAGTCGCACAATCGTGGTTTCTCAAAGAATGGGGTGAAGCATATAACCAGATCGTTCTTCTCTTTGAATACTCAGGGTCAAACATTATGTCTATTGCCTCTGGATCCGCCGTCCAATCCATTTCCTCAAACACAGTCAGCTGGCTGCCCAAGAATCCAATCGACGATTTGCCGCCCCCAGCAGAGGATGTTCGCCCGTGGTTGCTAGCGTTCTTTGCTATCACGGCCTTCCAGTCCGTCGTTATGCTCTTGTCGCAACTTTTGATGCTGGTTGTCGTCTACTATGCTGGCAAAACGATGTTTCAGCAGGCCATGGTGCGAGTCAGCCATGCGACGTTCCGATTCTTCGACGTAACTCCCATCGGTCGATTGATGAACCGTCTGACGTCGGATATTGGCGTGGTGGATGGAAATATTAGCCAGCAGTTTCAGATCATTGCGTTCCTCGCCATTACGTGGATTTCGTCTATCATAGTAATTGCTTCCGTGACCCCGACCTTCCTCGGATTCTCTGTGATCCTTACTGTCGCCTTCATCATCACGTTCTTGCAATTCCTCCCAACCTCCCAGAGTTTGCGACGGCTGGAAATGGTATCATTGAGCCCTTTGATATCCAACTTTGGCGAACTTCTTCACGGTTTAACTACCGTCCGCGCATTCCATGCAGAAACACGTTTCCAGGATCGAGTAATCGCAGTCGTGGACAAGTTCCAAGGCATGGATCATTTCTACTGGTCGCTGCAGAGCTGGCTGATGTTCCGCTTCGAGAGTCTATCTGCCATATCCACCTTTTGCCTGACAGTGCTTGCACTATACACCAATGTCTCCCCCGGCCTGGCTGCATTTGTCCTCATCGCCGCTAACAGCCTGGTCGATGCCACACACGGGCTTTGCAAGCAATACGGTCAGTTGCAAATGGACTTTGTCTCCGTGGAGCGAGTAGACGAGCTCCTGCATGTGGAGGAAGAAACACCGGGCACCATCGAACCGCCGGCCTCGTGGCCCAAATTCGGCCGCGACATCACGTTCGACGACGTAACGATCCGCTATGCTCCTCATCTCGATCCCTCACTCAAGAACATCTCCCTGCGGATCCCGGGAGGCTCTACCACAGCCATCACCGGCCGCACCGGCAGCGGCAAATCAACCCTCGCCGTCTCCCTTCTCAGCGTCATCCGCCCAGAATGCGGCCGCATCCTGATCGATGACATCGACATCGCGCAAGTGAGCACCCAGGCACTACGCACCAGAGTCACCTTTGTCGCCCAAGACCCCGTCCTCTTCCCGGGAAGCATTCGCCTCAATCTCGACCCAACAGGCGACTACACCGACGAGGAATGCGCCGAGATCCTCAGACGAGTATGCGGCCGACACAATTGGACTCTAGACACGCATGTGGAGGCTGGAGGCCGAAACCTCAGTCAGGGCGAGAGACAGCTTATCGGGCTATCCCGGGCGGTACTGCGTCGCAGCTCGATCGTCATTCTGGATGAGGCGACGGCGTCGATCGACCATGAGAGTTCGTTGGAAATTCAGCAGATCATCCGTGAGGAGATGAAGGAGTCGACTGTAATTACTATCGCGCATCGGCTGGAAGCTATCAAGGACGCGGATTATTATATCGTTCTAGACCAGGGCGGAGTGTCTAGGCAGGGATATGTAAAGGATATGTGATCTAGGGGTTAGAGTTTTTGTAGTTAGGAAAAGTCATTCATTCGTGCGTTAGTTGACATAGATCTGGTTTCATATCCATTTTCGCTGACCACCCAAGCCTCTTCGATAACCAGTAGAATACAAAACAATTTCCCCCAAGTCCAGGCACTTCAGTGCAAGTTTAATCCATACCAGTAAATGAGCAGACAAAACCGCCGATCCATCTAACAACACCAACAACCAGTCCTTCACAACAAAATCAAACCCATCCCAACACGACTCCCCAACCAAGCACCCACACCACCAACATACCAACCCCAATCCTCTGAGCCAAGCAAGCCGCAGCTCTCGACTTCTTCCCACCCGAAGTCTCCGTCGGCTTGACACTCGAGCTCCAAATCGAACTTGAACTCGCCACCTCAGAAGAAGACGAAATACTCGAAGACGAAGACGAAGATCTCACAACCCCCGCCCCAGTCCTATACATCGGCGTCGGAGTCCAAGTACACTTATCAGCCAATCGAGGTCTCCAGACAGTAGGCGGAGACGTGGGAGTGGATGTCAGTGCCGCAAATGCAGGACCTGAAGATACACGGTTGATCGAGCCCGAGCCCGAGACTGCGGGAACAGTAGTATTCGGATCTCGGACTCGCAGCTGAGGCACACAGGGGGGTTGAGACCGACTGAGACTTTTTCCTGTGGATCTGGGCTGCATAGTCAATGTTGAAAGCACAGTGAGAGGGTCCAACGGGGTAATCGGGGGCGGAAGAGGTAGGGAAGGCATAGTTTGAATTATTCCTTTCTCATTGTCGGCACGGGTTGTGGTTGTGATTTGGGGCTTAGGACTCTCTAGCTCTAGAGGAAAGGAATGTGAGCGTTTGGGAGGGCGGTATTTGGGCGAGAGAGAGGAGTCGCTGTTGCTGTCGATGGCACCGTTGTCGTCCGAATCACCATAGTTGTCGGGATCCCCGTTGGAAGAACCGGCAGTACAGAGCGCGGTCTCAGGGATCGGAATCGGTTTGCCAGACCGAGGATACCCTGTTCCATTGAAGGCGCAGAGGGCGTCGCCGAGGATAGGAGCGGTCTCGTAACCTGGATTTCATCTCGTTAGTTTGGGAACAGAATATTGACATTATTTCATGGACATAAGGCGAGCAGAAAATAAGATGACGAAGTACAAAGAAACAAGCACGCACAGATAGCCATATCCTTATATCCGGGAGGAAGAATCTTAACCAATCTGCAAGACCAGAGAATGGCGGTGGTTAGCAAACATCCCACTGCGACCATAGCGAAAGGTAGACAACGCACTCAATATTGCACGAGCGGATCTCAGCGGTGGTGGTTGAAACGCAAGATATCATGGTAGGGCCTTGCAGGGAGCCATGGACGCAGTAGTGGCCTCCTGGCTTGGAGCAAAGCAGACTGTTGGTGTTGGCGTTGCTGGGTTGGTCAGTCAGTAAATAACATATGTGCAATATGCGATATAGGGATGTAGGAAAGAGGGTCGGTCGTACTATCCGATCTGGGCCCATCCAAGCTGGACGAAAGACAGGACAGTCAAGATGACTGCGGTGAAGGGAGTCATTGTAACTGCTGGGATAGATTTGTGGTTGATGGAACGGAGTGAAGACAACTGGGGTGTTGTGCGAGATAGAGGAAGAGTTAAGAGGACAAGAGGGCAACGTGAAATAGGCGAGGGCAAGAGGGGATCTATCTAGCAGGAAAAAGCATGAAGAATCTGGTGTGAAAGCAGATGCCAGCTATACTGCCGGGTGCATGAACAGTATCTAAGTGAATAGGCTGGGACTCCTACTAGCACCATCACTAGCGTAGATTCATGTGCAGATTACTGTTCGATTGCACGTCAAATCTAGACATAAATGATCTCTGATCCATCAAGCTGGAAGAATTCAGAGACAGCTAGTGTAAGGCAATAGATACAAGACTTTTAGCCAAAAAAAAAAAAAATGAACCATGTATAACGCCGAATTCGCCCTTGCACAATGCATGTCGGTATCACCCACTCATCACTCCAGGCTCTTCTTCCACTTCTTAATGCGCCGCCTGATATCACCCTCGCTCTGTTGCATGGGGTTCAGCTTCCGATCGCGGAACATGGCAGTAATGTCGTCGCCGTGTCGGTCAACGAGTCTTTGGACCCATTCCGCCTCCCGCGAGCTCTGATGGCGCGGCTTCTTGGTCTTAACATCTTCTCCCTCCTGCGCCGCTTGCCTCTCGAGTTGCTTGACAATGTCCGTCTTGGGAGCTCCGTAGGCGTCCTGCTCGTTGTCGGACAGGTCGTTCAAGGGGTCGTTGAGCGGGTTGTCTCGTTTCTTGCTGATGACTCGGATAATGTTGCCAGTCTCCGGATCGCGCTCCACCTCGACTTCTCCCAGCCCCAGTTGCTTCGCTGTCGCTTCCGAGCTGCCCTTAATGTGTAACGAGTGTTCGGGGGCGACGTCGATACCACCGGCTTTGTTGGGGCGTTTCTCAGCGCCACCGGCGGGGGCGTTTAGACGGTGAGTAAGACCGAGGCGACGGTAGTTTTGTGTGAGAGTCAGTTTGCGATCCCTGTGAGTTGTCATTAGCGCTGCTCTTTATCATTTTTTTGTCATGGCGATCGAATCCGTACCAGTTTTCGGCGATGATAGCATTTCCCAGCACGTTGACCTTCTTCTTGCCATTCTTGAGGATGTTGCCCCTCTTAGGCCTGTTTTTCGACAGCCCCGACCGGAGTTTCTTAGCTTGGCGAATGTTTGTCATGGTGCAGCGTAGATCAAGAACGCAATGATATTCAAATTGGAGGATCAAAAAGTTGCGGCAAGAAAGTTCGGAAGAAAAAGAAAATGATCTTATCGATTAGCCCGTCCGTGTTTGCACTGCAGGGCTTGGCGTGTTTGTCTCAGGGTCCCCTGATCAGCAGGTGACCTGGGACTATCGCCGACGGACAGCCGATCGATCAGTCCACCCTCCTCCGTCCTCTCCACCAATTGCTCCCCTCGTGGCCTTCACCCCTGGCCTGTTCCTCGTCATGATGGCCTCGCGTCTTTTCGCTCCCTCGCGGAGAATCGGCTTTGCGCTGGCTGCCGGAGTCTTGCTTTTCTCCGTTTTCGCCGTCGCTAAGGATGTACTAGATGTCGGGGAGCTCTCGGTCGGACAGATCGAGGATGAACTGCAGGTAAACAAAGACCCTGTCATTTTTATCTGCCCTAATTAGTCTACCTATATATTCTCCTATCTGTGTCCGACTGTGCTCTTTATTCTCGAGTCGTACTGACCTCTCCAGAACTGTCCCCTGGTGGAATCACTCAACGAATACAAACGCGCAAATAGCCCCCAAACCGCCAGTCTGACATCCAAGATCTTCTCTGTCCTCTTCCCCGGCAGTCCCGCCGTCAATGCCATTCTAGCCACCGTCTATATCTCCGGGCCCCCGAGTACGTGCCATCTTCAGTCAAATCCTCATCACGTTCGCTTCTAACCGTCTTGTCCATCTAGACTTTCTCCTCGCACTATGTCCTCCCAACATCGACCCCTCCTCGCTGTCCGTCATGGTCGCTTTCGCCGTGGGAGGTCTCCTAGGTGATACTCTCTTCCATTTACTGCCCGAGATCTTCCTCGGCGAGGATGCCCAGGACCATGTCCGCTTCGTCATGGTCGAACCCAACCGCAACCTGCTCCTCGGACTCGGCATCATGGTCGGATTCTTCACCTTCGTCGCAATGGACAAGACGCTGCGCATCGCAACCGGCGGGGAGGGACACGATCACTCCCACGGTCACGGACACGCCCACATCCATCCCGAGACGAGCACCAACGCTATAACCAGCGGCGCTGACAAGGGCACGCAGGATGTCAAGCAGCGCAACAAGAAGTCCAGCACGCAGCAAGAGAAGACAACCTCGACCAAAGACAACAACAAAGAAATCAACCCCAGCGTCAAACTCGGCGGCTACCTCAACCTGATCGCTGACTTCACGCACAACATCACCGACGGCCTGGCCATGTCCTCATCCTTCTACGCCTCGCCCACCATCGGCGCCACCACCACCGTCGCCGTCTTCTTCCACGAGATCCCCCACGAAGTCGGCGACTTCGCTTTGCTCATCCAGTCCGGTTTCTCGAAGCGGAAGGCCATGGGCGCGCAGTTCGTCACGGCTGTCGGCGCCTTTCTGGGCACATTTATCGGCATCGCGGTCCAGGAGCTGGGCGGCCACGGCAGTGGCGATGCTGGTGCTGCGGATTCCACGACCGCGGGCCTGCTCGGGACGAGCTTGACCTGGGGCGATATGCTGCTACCGTTCACGGCGGGGACGTTCTTGTATGTGGGCACCGTGTCGGTCATCCCGGAGTTGTTGGAGACCGGCAAGGACAAGAAGAAGGAGATCAAGCAGACGATCATCCAGTTTTTGGCTGTCGCCGTGGGAGCGGGCATCATGCTTGGGTATGTACTACGTTTTTCGTCCTTTTTCCATCTATCATTCTACCCCATCGCAAGACGGGGAATAATTGGTTGACTAACTCTCGCAGAATCTCATGGGATTAAACCAATACCCTCGTCGTTGTCCTGTCCCACTCCCAGGAGCTGCTCTAAACCACCGACCAACATCACGACGTTATTAAATAATCTCTTGACAATTGGATTAGAACACGAAAGACGGATGGTATGTATATAATATACCTTAGAATATCTAAAAATATCTACTTGGATTGGGATGATACGATACCTTCCTCTCAGTTACGAAACAATCAGCAAAAGCCAACATCCCATCTAGTACTGACAATAAACATTTAATTCCTTGCAACCGTATCAACCAACCATCCAGACGCCAATCCAGAACTTATTTTCAACCCACAAGACAAGACCAAAACGTCAATATGATGACAGGAATGAGAGAAACGTTCAAATCAAAATAAAGAAATAAGAAACAGAAGCAAGAATGGGTAAATCAAACGAACAGCTATCATATGCGAGAAACCTTGCGCACAGCGCAAAGTAAATAAACCAAAGTCCTAATAAAAAACAATACAAACTCTATCGGATATTTTATCTTTACTTGAAATCGTCACACCTCTGATATGTCTATCACTCGTTATAGTGATATACCTGGTTTTCGCCGGATTAGTTTATAACGTTGAGGGAAGATAGAGTGAGCAGGCAAGACAGGCAACTTACAAAATAATCAGGTAACCCAAACACCGAATAACCCAGACGCTTCGCCATCTTGGCGAAGCCCTCAGTCTCGACCAAGTGATAGAACGGGAAAGCAGGGAACATGGCGCCGTCACGATGCACATCGGCCTTGACCAAGAGCGCGGTGCCACCGACGCCGTCCAGCTCGATCTCGCGCCGCGGGTCGGGGTTTCTCTGATCGGCCATGTAGGCCATCAGGGACCGATACGTCGGCATCTCGTAATATCCCTCGAGAAGGATCTCGTCCGGGTCCATGGCGTCAGCCAAGGATTGGGCCGTGGAGCTATCGATCCAGGAGTTAAAGTCGTACGGGCGCACATCGTTGCGCTTCGTATCGGTGTTATAATAGCGCTGGAAACAGTTTGGAACGATGACCGGCTTATCATGGTGCGTGAGATCCTGGATCAAGGACCGCGGTGTCTCGATAATATCGGCGTCCAGCCACAGAACCCACGATGTGCTGGGACCGAGAGTCGTGAAGACCAAGCTGTTGCGGGCGCGACTCATGGACTCACGACGCGCTTTCTGGTTCGCCATTTTATGCCGCTCCTTCTCATCCTGCGACTGTAGTGGGGGCTCGAAGTCCTGGCGCAAGATGGAGATGCTGGCGAAGCGGGAGTCCACGGGTCCGGATTGCGTCTTTGCGATGGCCTCCTCGAGGGCCGCGACCGCTGCGTTTCCCTCCTTGGTGCGAGGCACGATGAAGCCGATGGATATCAGAGCGTGCGGGTAACTCAGCTTTTCGACGTTGGCCCAGAATTCGGGGTAGAAGCGCGCGAGGGGGGTGAGGATGAGGACTCGTTCGCTCATGCCGGCGGCATTGTCGGTGCTGGTGAGGCTGTTGAGGTTGTAGTGGACGACGGGAGGGGGCGCTTGGACGCCATCGTTGCGAATTGGCTGTTCCTTGAGAAATGGTTTTGTGGGTGGCGAGAGAGGATTCTGCGCAGCGTCTTCGCGGAGCTGTTGCGACGAGTCGGCGACGGGGACGGAGGCGGCGGAGGCGGAGGATGAGGTGGGAGACGGAGAAAGCAAGAAGCAAAGGAATCCGAAGGCGAGGAGGGCCGCCAGAAGCAACGTGATAGGGCTGGTGCGTCGCATTGGACGAGCGACGGCCATCGCAGACCGTAGAGACCGTTGAGAGGTGGTGGTGACGGTGTTGGGTGAGTTGGCCAGACGGTGACGGGTACGTGGTCAGTGGTGCAGATCGACAGTTGGCGTTGGCAAGGGGCCGATCGATCAATTCAGCGATCCAGGACAGGCCCGGCGAAGGGGATGGAGGGATGTGTTAGCCAGCGACAGCGACAACCATATCGCCAGGGAGGATGAAGAGTGGAAAGAGAAGAGGACAAGGAAAGGAAAAGGAAAAGGAAGACGGGAAGTGAGGGATGACGAAGCTTTCCGGATGGGGACTGCGCGGGTCACGGGTCTGGGCGCCGCCGAATGCGGAAATGTTGCATGGGTTGCATCCATCGTTCTCGATCTATTTACTATATACAGTCTATCTGGTCTTTGTTCTTTTAGTGTTCGTCACAATTCTTCTGCTTCATGGCAGAGACCGCATCACGCCCTCAAAGGCTACCAATGCCATCGCATTCGCCGGGAACGCTCGCAGGAAGCAGGGCACAAATCCCCTCCAGTATCCCTTCAAGCCGCGCTCGCGGTAAACCGCCCGAGCAGCGTCCTTCCAATACTGGAATTTACGCTGTCCATCTCCAAGAGCACCGCCCATGGGATCCGTCATGAGGCGCTGCTTCACCACGTCCGACGGGTACGACGTGAGCCAGAAGATTTGCGCCGACATACCGCCCGCCCAGAAGTTGATCGCGGGCGCCGACATGTTGGTGGATTCTTTCATCCATCGCGTCAGAACATCGTAGGATCCCCACCAGAAGAAAAAGAATGCGCGGAAGAAGATCGTAGCGCAAAGACCCCGATAGAGACCGGAGACTCCATGTGTTCGGAGCTGCAGAGTAGATCGAGTCAATTTCTCGAGCCTTTCGGTAAACATGTCCCAGAACTTACAATTTTTTGGGTGCAGTCGATCGGACCGCTGTACATGCGGCCGGACTTGTCCGCAGCGTATTGGATTTGGAGACGCGCCTTGACATGTTCCACAGGGGCGGCGATGAAGCTAACCGTAGTACCGGCCATGATACCAGCGATACCATGACCGAAGCTAGGCAGCGTGAGCAGGTCCGGGTCCTTTCTAGCGAATGGGACCAGCGATCGCAATTCCGGCTTCGAAAAAACGTGCTCGAGAAGGAGTCGGCGGTATAACGTCAAAGAACCAAGCATGCTAGAACCCGCATCAGTTCCGACAGTTCTTCCTTGTATGCTCTCCCAATCCAAGGACCCAAACTCACACTGAGTCCATCACCATCCATCCGACCAGCGGCGGCGTCGCTCCTTTATACAGTCCACTCACACCTTCTTTGCGCACTGTCTGTAGCACACAATCCAGGGGACCTCTGAAATGGCCATCTTTGCTCGTTTGTAGGCGGACTTTAACGGTATCGAATCTGTTGCACGAGAGAACAATTAAAAGGGCGCGCGCAAACGGGAAGAAGATCGCACATACGGATGGCCAACTATATTTCCGCACGGAAGTTAGCTTGAGAAATCCAATGGTGAAACATGGCAAGGACATACCGCTCAGCTTTGCAATTCCCGAAAACACACCAGCCACAAATCCCTTATAGTCATGCTTCGAATTCGTCACCGGCGCGCGAGCGCTCCCCGAACCAACGCTCTCAATTTTCTGGGCGGCCTGAGGGTCTGGGACTCCGGGGGCTCCAGTTTTCGATATCGATGTCGGGGTTGAAGTCATATTGTGGTAGTTCGGGTTTCAATCAAGAGGTGTGTATATAATCGCAAAAATCGAATTAGGGCGGTAGAATGACGTTAGGTCCGCTATCGGACAAAGATATTTGTGTTCAGGTCCGCTGGCTCATGGGTAATGTAGAGGGTATCTGGGGAAGAGACGGGGTCATTGATCAAGGGGTTTCAGGAAGAAGAGGAGGAGGAAGAGAGCTCCATTGAAGAGCCGGGGGGGGGGGGGTTTGCTGGTTGGAGAAGTCGCGGATTGAATTATTAACAAGCACGACTCCAATTCGCATTCCGCCCCGCAAATCCTGTTCGGTCCGGGGAGTTGAGCTGCTTCTCCGGCGCCTCGCGGTCAGTCGGTCAGTGTAGAAAGTGAATTATATTTCGTAAAATGGACACCATTTCCAAGTTACCGCGTTGGTAGTGTAACGGTTATCATCCTTGCCTTCCAAGCAAGGGACCCGGGTTCGACTCCCGGCCGACGCATAACATGTTCAATCTTTTTTGTTTCTTTCTTTTTGCTCTAGTACAAGACACTCCGTTCACAAAGTCATTCTTTTTGCTTTTTTTATCCCTCAATGAATATGTATCGAAACTCTCAATCTAAACAAGCTAGCCCTTCATATCCAAGTAGTATTTACTTGGAAATACTGCTTCCGCCACGCCATGCCACTACGACAGCTTCATTCAATACGCTCAATAGCAATTCGCCAAGTATATATCGAAACCCCAGTCAGACCCCCGAATGATAGGAGATCAATCCCGACTCAACAATTTATATTCCGCAGCACACCGTACCACTTACGGATTCTAGACCAGATATATAAGCCAAATAATATACTAATCATCAGTCAATTGAAAAATACTAAAAAGAATGACACACTATCTATCCTTACCCTCAATGGTAATCCACCGACTGTAACTCCCGTGGTTGAACACTGTTACCAGTCTTGCCCGAATTTCCCTGCAGCTGCAGTCTGCCTACGCAATCAATCGTTCCCATTTGCATCCTAGTCCCCATTGCCACCCATGCTAAATATCACATTTAGCTGCAAACGGCAGTAAGGCGAACAGTATCAATATTGCAGGTATGTCGTGCACCACACTATATATTCCCGTCAGTTGTCTATCACATTACCCACCAAGCGCAAGACCGAATATACGGAAAACTCACCCGATGATTGTTAGGGCAAGGAGCATGGTAAGTGCTACCAGGCCGGTTACTAGCCGTGCATTGCTGAGTCACACTACTGCATGTCTTTTATTTCTGCGGTGTTAGTTCCAACAAGATGGATGCCGGTGACGCCGGTATGGGGAGTGGGGGAGGCAAGCTAAGCTAGATAGGACAGAGAAATACATACACCCCTGATGATGGCTGCAGTGCCAACCTCTCCAGGATCGGATTGCGGATCAGTGTTATCCTGAGCCTCGGCGGCCGGAAGGGCGACGGCGAAGCCGGCGGAGAAGAGAGCGAGGACGGGGAGAATGAGACTGGTTTTCATTTTGATTGAGGTTTGGAAATCAAGATTGATTGAATGTTCTAAGAATTGATCGAACGGATTGGACTTTGTGATGGTAGGCGATGGTAGGTAGATCGAGGCTTTCACGACGGACCCGTTCGCTCTTTATATACCTTTGACCTAACAATGCCACAGAGCTATTAGTAGAGGTCATACAAGGCTATTCGAAGGAGAAAGGACAATCTTGTCCAGCCGTCAGCATGTCAGTCTCACATGTCAGTCTATCTGTTGGCCTGTTGGCCTGTCATCGTCCGAATTCTGGATAGGTATACGAGACCTCTTGCACCACGTTCTGAATCCTGCCACATCCATGGACGAAAATGCCATCCAATGGAATGTTGTAAAGGGTTGTACACGCTCGAGGCGAAGTCAGAAAGCGAAACCAGGCCCAGCCTACTCTGTCTCGTGGCTATGCGAGTTGGGTATAGCCTATGCCAGACTTTTGTTCGAGTCATGAATTGCGGGGTGGGGATGTCGTACGGATGTTTCTTTTTGTCCGGAGGGGTTGTACAGGAGGAACATGGGTGATAATAAGCTGATATACGTGGTTCAAGACAGTTGATTTTCCTCCTTAGAAGGACTGAAATGAGTACATCTCCAACCGATTTATAACGCATCAAATCATATCAACAATGGATAAAGTGCACTATAAAAATAGCACCTTATACTAATACCCCTCGATAATCCACCCCCAAACGCTAAAAAACCTAGGTATCCCACCAGTTCCCAAGCAAAACTATTCCTCCAACCCCACATCCATGAGCTCTCATGTCAGATATCAGCTTACTACACGCCTATACAATTACGTTCCACAGGAAGGGAAGCCACGGGAAAATATCAAGCCGTGAAAGCTAAATATTTATATACATAGCACCAATCCGCTGAATTGAATTATTGTCTTCTAATACCATTCGTCGGGAGCGTATTACGTGGTTTAGGATTAGGTTTAGGTTGCCTCGTTGCCTCTACCAGTGAATAAAAAAGGATGTTGATTAACATCGTTTTTGTGTTTATCTAAGGCGTACCAAGAGCTCAAGGACCATTTGGGGCTGCTAAATCTATCGTCCGTAGATCCTGGAGACGGAACTTAGTCTCGTGGTGCCATCTCAGATATACCCGAGTTATTTTGTTGAAGGATGTTGAAATTGAACTTGAGAGTGGAAAGGTTACATATCGAAAATACCTGACAGTCTTTAGCGTATAACTAACACTACTCTATCATAACGGAGTGAAACAGAAGTGCAGGAAATAATCAGGAAACGAAAAAGAGAGAAAAGAACCCATGCTTCCTTCCCTCAGCCGCCTAGCTTTAACTCTACCAGTCGGAACCGGATCGACCGGATGTGGTCGGAGAAACCCTAATAATGCCACTCTCTGCTTGGTTCGCTCGATGAGCAGCATTTAGCTGAGCGAACACGATTCTTACACAATTTAGGAGCCATGACATGAGGATCCTGCGTTAGAAGGGTCTACTTCATCCAGTTTAATTACTCAGCAAAACCGATAACGTACCTAATTCCCGCCCGAGCTGCGCACCTAACCCTACTACGAAATTTCAAAATCGATTATATCAACCAGAACGCATTAATTCTGCTAAATATAACGATTTTACATGTATTGATCCTGTGGCCAACCTCCCTGCATCTACTACACCTTGGTGGGGCCCTCCTTGCCAACTGATCTTGCTGTATAGGCAATTCGCCCTGCGCATGCGATCTTACCGCAGGTGTTTCTGCAGGTAAATTTAGCTACGCAATTAGCTGTAGACCTTCTTCAACAGTCAAACCATCTTGGCAGGGTATCTGCCTAGTCGATCGGTTGCGCTTCTTCTTGATTCTCTCGTTTGCAGCGCATAGATTCGTGTTTTCCTGCGCAAGAAGCGCTGCATTGTGCATTGTTGTGGCGCACCCTTTGATAATTTGATCTAGTATAACCTTTGATGGTGTTGGAGGGCTATTTGATTGTTGCTTTAGTAGTCCTTTAAGCGAGGAAGCTTGCTTTTGTAGTTGGATAACAGTCTTTGGTGTTTTTGGGGTGAATTGGCTAGATCTGCTGCTTGGCCGGCTTCCTGGTGGTGTTGGCGTTCGTAGAGAGATATTAAGCTTTAAAAGCACCCTTTCTGCATCGACTGGTACTAGGCCACTAGCTGCGAAGCTATTCTGAATGATAGCTGGCTGTTGGAAGGCCTCTAGTCGCGCGTTTTGATAATCATCTAAGAAATCAAACTTGTCGATATGGTTATATCCTCTGCGCGCAAGATCACTTATAAAGCGACCATACGCATGCTTGAGTACTGCGACGCACCCAGCATCAAGCGGTTGTAGTAGATGCGAAGAATGCGCAGGCATACAAAGAGGAATAATATGATCTTCTGCGCAGATTCGGTCGAACTGGGGCGTAAGATGGCTGCCGTGGCCATCAAGAATCAGAAGGCGAAAGCGGCCACGTACGCGCGAATTTGTTGATGGGATAAACAGCTTTTGTAGCTAGCGTAGGCTAATCTCCTCGGTGGTCCAGCCGTTATTTGAGACCTCTAATCGCCAATCTCTTGGTAGATTGTCAAACCACCCTGCAATAGCTACTTTGCCTTTAAAGATAATACGGGGCGGTAGCGAATAACCATCTGCGCAGAATGCTTCAATAGCAGTGACCCATTCACGATTTCCTGGCTGTAGGAGATGACGCCGACCATAGTAATCTGCTCGCGTAACTACGTTCTGGGCAGATATAAGACCCACTGTAAACCTGTCTCGTCAAAGTTATAGATATGCTCTGGTTGTATACCGTTCTCATCGATAACCCGCTGTACGGTTGCAAACCATGCACGTAGTGATTTTGGGTCTTCATTTAGGGCGCGCTGGTAGTCATCACGCTTTGAGAAGCGCGAGCGAAGCTCTTCGCGACGATTAATAAAGGTTGATGCCCAATTCTTGCTAACAGTAGACGGAAGGAAGCTACCACTCGCAGCTAGGAGGATATTAGCCATTTCTCGTACAGCAGCTGGCCTAGGTGCTGCTTCACGCGAATCCATAGAGAGTATCCATTCAGTAAGCGAATCCTCTTCTAATTGGGTCAATTTATGGCCGTTTGGGCGTGTATCGACGCGAGATTATACCGTGCGCGCGATTGCGAAGTGTTGATTCAGGTACACCGAATAGCCTGGCTGCTGCGCGAGTAGATTTGATTTGCCCCTTTTGAATAGCCTGTAGGGCTAATAAGATCTTGTCCTCTTACTGGGCTAATTCAGGCCGAGATTCAGTGCGAATTGGTGGCATGGTAGGTGGGTAGGACGACGCGATTTGAGATGGGGTGCGCAGCTCGGGCGGGAATTACGTTATTCCGTGTAGATCACCACCCAGTTTCTATTTATTTGTTTTCAAACTATATAGAATACCAAGTTCCCCGGTCTTTTTTTTTTGCTGTTTCTGTTTTGTCCTGTGTAGGCTGCTTTATTTTCCCGTCGTTCACATTTTGCTAGTCATGTTCGAAGCACTGTCTGCCAGTGTCGTGTGCAATCTAATTTCAAGAACAGTCTGTTTCTGTTCGATGCGAATGTTTCAAATTCAAGAATGAAAATGAAAATGCAATACAATAAATGACAAATAGCCCAAGCTCCAACGGGCGAGAAGAGAAAACAAAAGAGGTAAGAAAATACATCTGGTAAGATGGGCACAAAGTGGGGGTATAGGCGCAATATATCAATAATACATAAATCTTTCGTGATGACTGGTCTGGAGTCCCGGATGTGGAGATGACCGTTCTGTATGCCCGAAGAATTTGGAGGTGCGTGAGTCATCAAGGTCCGAACGAAAGCGGACGAAAAAAGTGATGAAAATAGAAAAGGTGGGAGCAAGAAAATAGGAAAAGTCCCTTCAGCTGACTGGTGAAGGCCAGGTTTTACGACTGCACAACATCATCGGCCCATGGAGCTCTTCTTGGCTTTCTGGCGAGTTCGCTCATTCTCGCGGGCAATCAGACGTTCGACGAGGTCAGGCGCCGGTCCGGAATGTGGGTGGTCACGCGACGAGTACTCGGAGGCGGAGGGACCGGACAGGAGATAGCCATTGGCATCCTCCAGGGCCAAAGGGGTAACGGGCCCCGGGCTGCGGAGAGGGTCCAAGCGGGGAGCCGACGGACTGGGGGACAGCGGCCGGGAGGGAGTCTTGGACAGGCTCGAGCCTTCGATCAGTTCCCGATACTGCCAGACGGGGTCTCGCGAGCTTGACGAGGTGCGGTAGATGTGCTGCTGCGCCGGAGGGTTCTGGCTGCCGGTCGCGGGCTGATAGACTGCGGGGTGGAAGGGCGGGAGGCTGCCGAGATGGAAGCCCGGGACCGACTTGGAGGGGTTTTGGGCTCGAGCCCGGGAGGGTTGCGGGGAGGAAGATCGTCCGGTGGGGGACATTGAGGGCGACACGACTGCAGGGTAGAAGGAGGAACTGTCGGCACGCATTCTGGTGGACGACGAGTGACGAGAAGGCGAGCGGTGTCGGTGGCTGGCGTGGTGGTCTCGCTGGGCAAAGTAGTAGCCCTTGTCGAAACGCCCGGTTAACGGTGTGACGGGCAGGTCGTTGTCATGCGCGTAGTGAGGGGAGGGTTTGGGGATGGGGATGGGACGAGAGGCGGAGCCGGAGAGAGTGAGAGCGTCGAAAGAATCGGCCGTATCGGAGACGGGCGAGGAGGGACGCGGCGAGGGGGGATTATAAGTTGAGGAGGTGGCCGTTAATTCTTCGAGGGACGACAAGGAGACTCGGGTGGGGTGACCGTGTCTGGCAATCAGGCTGTCTAAGTGGTCCTGAGTGCCTCGATAGGAAGGCGACCAAGAGGCAGTGGAGAGATTGGCTGGAACAAGCACGCGATCAGCACCAATTCACTCGGAATGCGGAACAGGCATGCCACACGTGTCAGGTGGGGATGCAGCGATGAGAAGAAGAGACAGCGCAGGAGGGTTGAATCCCCAATGATGTTTCTTCTCTCTCCGTTCGTCTGGCCGAGGGGTTGACCACGGCAGAGAGGGGAGGGAAAACCTACTGCTGAGGGACGGTGGTGAGTGGACGGAGCTGAAGGAGGAGGGATACAGCGAGGGGGAGGAGGACGAGGAGGAGGAGGAGGAGGAAGTCGAAAACGGCGAGCGTGGAGAGGCCATCGAGCGATTTATCTCTTTTTTTTTTTTTTTTTTCTCTTTTCTTTCTTTTTCTGTATTGTGTTGGGTCGCGGCGCGGTAACGCTACCTTGTGGCCTTGTGGCCCTGTGGAGGGAATGATTTCCCTCGTCCTTGGTTTGTCACCGCCCTCCGCGCTTGTTGCCTGGTCCCCTTTTCTTTGTTTCTTATTTTAGTCCACGCTGTTGACTGTGTTCCTCTCCGTCAATATCGTCCCAACGACCACAGAATCAACACCGTCCCAAAAGGAAATCGATCGCGTAAATAATGATAAACCCCCAGATCAGCCCAACGGTGACCACCTTTCCCTTCAATCTACGGACGAGTTAGCTTGCGGGGAAAAGGCATGGCGTCATGGCGGGAGCGGCGGGAGAGCCAGAAGGCTTGAAGAGGGGCAACGCGGAGGAAATCCACGGTACGCCGCTCGGTACCGTACGGTACGGTACCTTGGGCTCCACTCCTCCCCGGTCGTGGGAGACTCACCGAAATGGACGAGGACGGGATGTGTGGATGGTTGTGTTCGCAATCGGGCCTCCGGTGCTGTAACTTGTACTGTATTGTATGGACTGGAGACTCGACGGGCGCTAGTGCGGATCGGGCTTAGTGGGCACACTAGAGGGGGTGCAGTGACGCACGTCCACGGATTCGGCAAGGAGAAAAGGGAAGGAACAGGAAGATGACGGCATGGGAGACCATGCGCAGGTCACGCAAGGATGTCGCCAGTCCGCGCACGCATGGGGTGGGTAAAAGATGGTAGGGAAGATTGTCTTATTGTACGACCCGAGACCGAGCAGCAGAGCTTGGTCGACGGGGGAATTCTGACGCCCTTTTAAGTGCTGAGCAAAGGGATGTTGACAGATAGAGAGATCCAAAACCGGTTGCAACCACACACGCGGCCGAATCGGCTGACCCAGACCGACCCAGCTCTTGTCTTACTACGACAGGAGTAAGACTAAAACACCAGTCGTGCGCGTCCAGCAGCAAAGAGTGAGGGTAGATTTGAGACCGTTTCGCCCTCCCCTCCCAGTCGACCAGGGTTATGCCGGGTGCTGACTGGCTGGTCGGGGCAGACTAGCTCGAGGGTTGGCGAAGTCTGCATGTCATTCCCTCGCCCGGTGATAGGCACCGCCTGGCTTGCAACCCCAGATCGATGTACGCACAGTCGATCTTCAGCAGCGTAGCACCACCTCGCCTTCCAGGGTAGGGCTTGACGGAGGAGAAGTCTCGGTGCCGACAATGTGATGGTCTCAGTCATCACTCTCGGGTGATCAGACGACGGGGCGTTCCTATCACATTGCTCTCGGACCTCCCCCACTTGGTCCCTGGTGGTGGTTATTGTCGGGGTTGAAAATCAACATTATTCATCTTTTGTCATTTCATCTATTCCCTGCCCACCGATCGCCATGGTCGGATCGCGCATTCCGACGTCCAGAGGAAATGATGCCGTCATTCTGCAGCGCGCCCTGATCCCGCTATTGTTGACTGAAGACGGCATGTACTGAACGTGCCTCGTTTTGGCTCATGCGCCGTCATCAGAGGACAAGTGGACACAGAGGCACAATCGGATTGAGGACGAATGAACTCTCTGGCGGCGTAGGGTTCGAGCCGGACGGCCGGTAAGGCACGGAGGAAAAGGCGCAGGCACCGACGAGATGGCAATGGTCGAGCGTGACTCGGCGGAGTGAGTCAATGATAATAATAATTATTGATGATAAATACACTCCGGAAGGATGAAGAGGGTGTGCAGCCCTTATCCTCTTTGGGATCTTCTTCTAGTCGACAGTCGATTCCTCACGTCTCATTCGAGGACTCGCGTACAGCCACTTCGACATCTTCTGGCGGCGCAGGAGTCCAGGGAGGCGGCGCAAGTCATCACATCCGGCATCTAAGCCGAGGGTGGGAGAGACTCCTGTCCCCGGGAGAGGGGAGAGTCGCCACTTTCACCGGGTCTACAACGTTGGTCCAAGCTTCGCAGGGGTTCGGATCTCGCAGCGCCTTGCAGGCAACGACCTGCCAGGGCCAGTCTGTGCGATGCAGCCTAGATCTGCACGTCGACCCTCAACGAGGGGCCCTGGCGTCGAGTCATCCCCGGACTCGAGGTAAATGCCTCATGGTTCTACCGTTTATCTACTGACTCAGCCCGGGATGCTTAATGATCCTGGCAGGAGAAGAGTTGGGAGTGGAAATCTAGACCTGAGCGCGGTGGAATGTCTTCTCTTCTATTTGACTTTCTCGAGGTCACCCCGACAAGGATGTGATCCATTTCATCATTCGCCCTAGCCCTCTTCTCGGAAATGACACCGTGCTTTTAGCCATTTACCCCCCTAGTTGTGACCAACCACTCGCTTGGGCTCGTACAGATCGTCGATACTGGCGATTTCCTCCTCGCTGAGTGGAAAGTCAATGGCCTGGATCGCCTCGTCCACCCTCTCGTTCTTGCTCATCCCCACAATAGGCGACGTGATGAACGGCTTGGACAGACACCAGGCGAGGGCAATCACCGCCATCGAGACCCCGCGACGCTGCGCAATCTCCTCAACCTTCGCGCTGATCTTCTTGTCCGCCTCCGTGATTGGCTGGCCCAGGAACTGGTTGTTCTGGGAAGTGCCCCTCGTTGTCTCGGAAAATGTCTTCCACGGCCTGGCCAGGAATCCCATGGCCACCGGACTCCAGGGCAGGCTTCCCATGCCGAACTTGGCACACGCCGGGTACATCTCTTTCTCTTCCTCGCGATATATGGCATTGTACAGGTTCTGCATCGAGATAAACTCCGTCCACCCGTGCATCCGTGCCGTGTACTGATACTCCAAGAGCTGGTGCGCCCACATGGACGAGGCGCCGATGTAGCGCACCTTGCCGGACTTGACGACGTCATGCAGTGCCTCCATGGTCTCCTTCGGCGGCGTGTTGGGGTCAAAGCGATGAATCTGCAGGAGATCGACGTACGGCAGATCCAGTCGCTCAAGACTGGCGTCGACACTCTCGAAGATGTGCTTGCGGCTCAGACCATACTGGTTGACGTAGCCGGCGTTGTCTCTGTCTTCCACGGACATGCGAAGGGGCTTCTCGGTGCCGCGTCCGACCGGCGCCCAGAGCTTGGTGGCAATCACCAAATTCTCCCGGCGCCAGCCATACTTCTTGATCGCTTTCCCGAGGATCACCTCGGAGTCTCCGTTCGAGTAGACGTTGGCCGTGTCGAAGAAGTTCAGACCCGACCGGTAGCAGTGGTCCAGGACGGGCAGGGCCTCGTCCTCCGGGAGCGGCCAGTCGAATTGCTTGCCGGGAGTGCCGTAACTCATACACCCGACACAAATGGGGGAGACGCGGAGGCCGCTGGATCCGAGTTGTATGTACTTCATCGTGGTCGTGTAAGGTTTGAGGGCTTGGATAGGTTGAAGTCTCACGGGATTCTGGCGTTCGATGACGACTATATACCATGACTGACCCGGAGTTAGTTGGCTTTATTTCCGTTCCCTGTTCCACTTTGCTTCACGGCGAGGTTCCTGGATGGATAGCTATTCACACCTGCGGGGCCATCGCGGACATAATTGGAGCTATTTCCTGTGCTAGATGTAATCAACGCACCATGCCGTCATCAGTGGGTTTAGCATTCGCCCCCTTTTGACAAAGACGATGCTAACAAAAACTAGCAATACGCCGTCTCAATCTCAAGTCTAACCTGTCATCGTATAGTCGAAGACCCCTCCAACTCCGGGGATAACGGAGATAAAAAAAAATCATATTAGCCCACAATTCCAGTCCATCCTTGATCGACCGGAATGCAAGCACCATTGATCAACTTCGACCCTCTCCCACATGTCACCGACAGACACACCTCTGCCACCTGATCAGGTTGACAAAGAGGGACTCCAACAGCGTCTATGATTCTCCTTGCCTTGCCCATCCCGACCATGTTGATGCCGGACTGAAACGCCTCGACGATATTCGTGTCCATGCCTCCCAGCATCAGCGCATTGCATCGGATGCCTTGATTCCCATAGAACGAGGCCGTGTTCTTTGTCAAGCCGACAAGTCCATGTTTACTTGCCGTGTATGCCGCACCTATCCCCACCAGCGAAGTGATTAGCAACGAACTCCAAATGCAACTAGATCCTTCATATAAAGGACGCGCGAAGAGCATGACATGACATGACATGACATGACATGACACCCAGTCTCCGTCCCCCACCCGAACCCAACAACGCAGAAACAAACAAATGACTTACCAGCAGCCCATCCCGCCTTGCCCGCCACCGAGACAATATTCACAATACACCCATCCCTCTTCCCCTCCTCCTGCGCCAACATATTCTTCACCGCCAATTTACTCAACAGGAATGGCGCCGTCAAATTCACCCCGATGACCTTATCCCAAAGCCCCTCATCCAAGTCCCCGACGGGATCAAACCGGTCCATAATCCCGGCATTGTTCACCAGGATATCCAATTTCCCGAACTCCGCCACAACCTCATCCACAAGTCTCTGCGCCTCAGTCGAGGATGTGATATCCGCCTGGATGGCCTTGATGCGACGGCCGTCGGTCCCTAGCTCTGCGGCCGTGTCACGGAGTCTCTGTTCGTTGATGTCGCAGATGGCCACATTCGCACCGGCGTTGAGGTATTTCGTCGCGATGGCTTTGCCGAGTCCGCCCGCTCCGCCGGTCACTAGGACGGTTTTGTCTTGGAGGTCGTTGCTCATTTTGGCTTGCTTTGGTGGCGGGTATTGTGCCAAAGTACGTAGGTAGGTAGGTAAATAGGTAAGGAATGAGTTGTTAGGTATGGAGTCGATGGACTAAGAATGCATGCATATGCACTTTTCTGTCCTGGGAGCCAGGATACCGCAGCCATATAAATACCTTCCCTACCTACCGACCAATCTACCCCTGAAACCCCCCCCCTCTTCTCTCAAACGAAGACACTGATCCCACTAACCCCATAACATAAAGCTCCAGGCGAGCCTATCGCGGTGCGAATACCCCGGAAGATCAAGTGGGCAAGGCAAGTGTGCCCCACTGCGTATCTGCTGCGTATTTGCGTATTTGCGTATTTGCGTATACCTAGCGTATCCCGTATACTTATCCGCTTCCGGATACGGATAAGGAGTTGGTGGATCATCGGGATGGGAAGCGGTAAGTGAGTTCTAGTCCTTGTCTGGGGTAGAGTGGGAACAGGGGTTATACTTTATATTATCGAAATTTGGAGTAACTGGGATGCAAAAATTAGAATGGAGGATGGGATGCAAGATTATAACCAAACCAAACCAAAATAAGACAAGAAATCAGAGAGAGAGAGAGGGATCTAGCGACTACGGTCTATTAGTTGACGTGGTCAAGAACCCGAATGTGGACGTAAAAGAAAAAGAAAATCATTTAACCATCTAATCATCTAAGGTATCAAGTTAAGGCGATTATAGCTTATTTCCCATATTCACATGAACAGCCTTAACCTGACTATAAGCGTCCAAGCCAGCCTCTCCCAACTCCCTCCCAATACCACTCTGCTTGACACCCCCGAACGGAACTCTCGGATCACAATCCTGACTACTGTTAATCCAGACCATACCGGCCTCGATATCAGCAGCGACACGGTGAGCCCGTTCTAGGTCCTTGGTGAAGACAGCGGCGCCGAGACCGTAGGTCGTATCGTTAGCGCGACGGATAGCTTCCTCCTCAGAGGCGAAGGGGACGATGACGACGACAGGACCGAAGATCTCCTCGCGGTAGACGCGCATGGAGTCTATGACGTCCGTGAAGACGGTGGGCTGGATGAAGTAGCCGTTCTGGTACTTAGGGTCAGACGGGGTGTGGGCGTTGCCGCCGGTAAGGACCGTGGCGCCCTCCGTCCGAGCGGACTCGATGTACGAGAGGATGCGGTCGTACTGGGCGCGGGTGACCTGGGGGCCCTGGAAAGTGGATTTGCTCCACTGGTCGCCGATGTGAGAGGTGGATTCGAGGGCCTGCTTGAACTTGTCGAGGAAGGGAGCCATGATGTCCTGGTGAACAAAAATGCGGGAGGTGGCGGAGCAGATCTGGCCCTGGTTGGACATGATACCGAAATGGGACCATTTGGCGGCCTGGTCAAGGTCGGCCTCGGGGAAGACGATGAGGGGGGATTTGCCGCCCGTCTCGAGTGTGATGTTCTTCATGGTGCCGGCGGCCATTTTCATGATCTCTTTCCCGGTCACCGTGGATCCGGTGAATGCGACTTTGTCGACGAGCGGGTGCTGCACTAATGCTGCGCCAGCTTCGCGGCCGTACCCATTGACGAGGTTTACCACGCCCGGAGGAAACCCGGCCTCCTTGATCAAGGTACCGAGGACGAGGATGCTGAGTGGTGTCTGCTCGGCTGCTTTTAGAACTACCGTGTTGCCGCAGGCGAGAGCCGGTCCGAGCTTCCAGGTGGCCATGGACAGGGGGTAGTTCCAAGGGATGATCTGTCCCACAACGCCGATGGGCTGGCGGAGCGTGTATGCCAGCTTCTCTGGGGTGGTGCTAATGGTCTGACCGAACGTCTTGTCCGCCCAGCCGCTGTAGTAGCGGATAGTGGTAATGGCCTCTGTTAGGTCTTCCTCAAATGCAACATGATAGGGCTTTCCTACATAGAGTTAGAGTGATGCAGGTAATGGGTTAAGTTTGGGGGGCTGGGCGAGGCGTTACCATTGTCCCAAGCGTCGATTGACGCGAACAGATCGCGGTTCTTCTCGATCAGGTCTGCCAGCTTGCCCATCAGCTGGCCTCGCTCCGTTGGAGGTAGCAGTTTCCACGAAGGATGCACCAAGGCTGCCTTGGCTGACTTCACTGCGAGGTCAATGTCGTCGGCACTGGCGGCGTGCACCGACGCGATCGGCTTGTCCGTTCTAATCTCATTAGCATACTATGGCCCTGAAAGTCTTGATCTCAAGAGAAAGAAAGAACATACGCTGGGTCAAGCGACACGATGGTCTGTCCATTAGACGACGGGCGAAACTCATTGTTGATGAAGAGGCCCGTCGGCTGCTTGTAGGTGCGCCCGTTCGGGGTGGTGATATCGACGAAGAGGTCGAGTCCTGCCATGTTGCCAGTTGCCAGCTGCCAGCTTGTGTGTAAGATGTGAAGAACAGAGGGCCATCCCCGCTCTTTTAGGCAATGGACGTCTGCAAGGACCTGCCTGTTAGGGCCTCGGAGCCACTTGCCCGCTCGGCCAGTCAACGCCCGCCGAGTGGATACAGCCGGAGGGGAAGGCGATTCCGACGGCGATAACGAGATGCTCGACGAGGAACCTCAATAACTTCCCCAAAGAGATCATGTCGTGAGGCAAGCAGTCCCGGCCGGGGGAGGTTAAAATGCAGTCATTTCGACGGGCGTTCATGGGCTTCAGAAACATTCCTCATACAGATTTCAAACCACCGGAACGAACAATACGTCGTCATATCACCGCGCAAAATGGTCCAGAACAAGACCCCCAAGGAGCTCCAAGGAGTCATGGTTGCTCTCATCACTCCGTTCACAGATGATAAGACTCAGATCGATAAGAAGCGCCTCCAGGACCACATCGACCACATGATCGCGTCTGGAATCCACGGCCTAGTCCCCGGTGGCAGCACCGGAGAATTCACCACCATGACTCGGGACGAGCGCAAGCAGCTCACCGAGCTATGCGTTGAATATGCCGCCGGACGTGCTACCGTTACGGCAGGCATCGGAAGCACATCCACCGACGAGGCAGTCGACTTGGCTCGCCACGCTGCGCGGGCTGGTGCCGACGCCCTGATGGTCGTGCCGCCGTTCTACGACCCCTTGAACATCGAGCAGTTGACCGAGCTGATGCACGAAATCCACACCGTCAGCCAGCTCCCCATCGTCTACTACAACATCCCCTCCGCTAGCGGCTTGACCTTGACGCCGCAGCAAATCGCGGACCTGTCCAGCGTGGGCGTGAAGTATCTCAAAGACACCTCGGGCAACGCCCCTGCCTTCACAGAGTTGGTGTTCGGTCTATCACACAAGGTCACCGCGTTCAATGGCTGGGATACCCTTACATTCTACGGCCTGGCATCTGGCTCGCCCGGCGCAATCTGGGGTGCTGCCAACATCATCCCCGAGCTTGCCATTGAATTGTGGAACGCTATCGCGGTGCAGAAAGACATCGAGAAGGGACGTCAGCTTTGGGCCAAGATCTTCCCTATTTGCAAGTTCCTCGAGTCACACAACTACGCTTCCGCGGTCAAAACCGGAGTGGAGCTCAGAGGTCAGTCGACGGGTGGACTGAGGAAGCCCTTCGCCCTGTTGAAGGGCGAGCCTTTGGCGGAACTGTCGCAACTGCTGAAGGACGCGGGTGTGAAGGTTGTTTAGAAGAACTGGGGCTGATGAGTTTATGATCTTCTTATGTTGGCATGAGAGACTGCAAATTGTATGTATGTTGTATGAGACATGTCGACGTTCAATCATATTATCTTTCTGAATGCACACGGATTAGGTCGTGGTAAACTGCACTAGCAAAGCATGGGCCAGATCCGTCGGCGCTTGACCACGTCGAGCCACGTAGGTATAGAATCGCGCTGAGACCAAGACGAACCATCGTCTTGGCAGTTCCATACTTCCACCATCACTTTCCTGGCAGTTCTGAAGGGCGCGAACTGACACTTTGCTTCTCCAGCCTCAAGAAGGCCTAATATAGACTCTCTCCGGGCAGACGTCATGGCTTCGCACCCCGCAATGAACAAAGGCCACACGGTACCAGGGCCCGTCTGACTGCCTTCGGCTAAAGAGGCATTGAAATCCTGTAGGGCAGTGATTACATCGTCTATGTGGCCTTCTAAGATGGAGGGGTGCACCTGACGCACGCGCCGATAAAAGAATATGACCAAGGCCGAGTTCAAGGCCCTTATGAAATGGTTGTGTGGTGCAGCGGAGATGTCGGGCTGATCCGTCGAATTCTTGCTGGCTCTGCTATGTTTGAAGGAGCAGATCATATTCTCGAGGCGGGCGCTGCGTCGCTGAAGTACATCCAATGCCTCCAAGGCACCCTCTTTATCTTCCGACGTGCTACGGAAAACTTCAAGGGTTTTCATGACATTGGCAAGTCGGGTCGTTTGTGAGACTAGACTCAACCAAGTTTCTGGGATGCCATAGACCTGTCGATAGAGAGTTCCAGAAAACTCCCGAGAGTCTAACAGATGAATATCGTGTAGACCAATTTCGTCATCTTTGGGCTCGTCGATGTTCAGGTCACTGTCTGACGGCTTCGGATAAATACGAAGAAAATCATCAAGGCGCAAATCATTCTGCCCTCCCGCATCTGGTTGGCTATTTGAAGCGATTCTTTCAGAACGGGAATGCCGATTGATGTTCTGCACGATGGATTCGTGCGGAGTATAGTCGTGAAGGGCGTACGTGCTCTCACCCACGATTCTGAGCCACGTATATACATGGTGCAGTAATCGAGCCTTTTGGGAGATGTTGCGTTTTGGTAGTCCGCGGAGGCGTAATAAGCGTTCCGCGTCGACCATGTAACACCGAGCATCCTGTTGCTGGCCGGAAAGAACCTTGAATCAAATGTTAATACACCATGTATGTCTACAGAAAGAGGAGCGTCTCACTGCAAATTCTGTCAAGACACAAATGGCCATTAACTGGTCCTTGTATTTTGCCTTTTTCAGTTCACATGTTTCCTCCTTCAACGAGCGCTGCATGTGGTCTTTGGCTAGATGATAAGTGCGATCGGTCAATTGTTTCCAATGCTCGGCAGAGCCAACGATGCCAAATGATGGGTTCAATGACAGGTGCATGGCAGAGCAGGCAAGGAGACAATATAGGTTTGCCTGTCGCGCATGACTGACACTTTGGGACCCCATGAAGGTCAGGTCGGTATACGTCACCAGGGCAGACGGAACATTCAAAAGCTTCCAGGGCGGTTTCTCGATCAGCGGGAATGCCATAATCCTGGGTATCACCTGGTCCTGAAAGTGTCTCAACAAAAAAGGTGTGTCCGATGGCACCCCTACTGAGAGACCATTTAGGTCTACGGGCGTTGGGCAAGGTGTTAAGGACCACATTTCATTTCTTGGTTGTTCAACTGTGGCCTCTTGAGTCGCCGGCACCAAGTCATCGCCAGAGTAGGGAGGTGTGTGATACGTCAGGCTCTCAGGCTCTGCGCCAATAGCTCCAGTATCCCAGAGAATCGAAGGCCCTTCAGTTGCGCTGAAATGGTCCAGAAAGAATGATCCTGGAAGCTCTGAGCCCAACATGAAAAGGTCAGACCATTGCAGAAAGTCATTTAGATCGGGTAGAGTATCCATCCGGGTCAGAGATATGGCGCTCAGATCCTCAGTTGGAAGAACTTCGGTCGAGAGTTCATCAGCCATTTCAACGACAGGGTTTTGCGGGGGCTGTGAGGTTTCCCCGGGAGCAGGTCCAAGGTCAAGGACTGAGAAAGGACCAACGACAATATCCTCTCTAATTGGTCTTTCAGGGTCCCGCGATTTGACATCGATCTCCGCCAGGGAGGCGTCGATAGAACCTGAAACGAGGTCGGCACCTAAGGCATCGCTCATGGACAGCCTAGACTGCTCTAAATGATGAGTAAGAATAGTTCGAGTATGATGCAATCAATCAACGGAGAATGAAAGGAGAGAGCTACCGGTATAAAGGTGACGCCGTGCCCCATGCTTATTCACACCGCGGGACCTAGTATTTCGATGGGGCTGCTGTTTCCTACTGGGCATCCACCGGATTTCATCAGAGAACCCCTCACATTCCATGCCCGTGACCTTACACATCTGACAAGAGGGCCGTTTCTGGTCACACTTGACATGGCGTCGTCGGCAGGTGTTGCAGCCTCCCAGCGTATGGGAGCGACGCGTTCTTGGAGCGGGTTGACGGTTTCCTGTCATGTTCGACACCGCATTCACCAAAGAACAACCGATAGTATCGTATATCGACGATATAGTATAGACAGAGACATTGACACGATGAAATGAAAGGAAACGCGGGGCGAGGAAATTGTTGCTCGATGGAGAAGAAAAGAGGCGTGTCCAGGCCGGAACCACTTGCCACGAAGACCCCGCAGAGTCACCTGACCGGAAGTGCCTTCCTGGTTAAGCGAGAGACACCCCGCGTTTCTTATCTTATCGGGAATGATGACATTGTTGACATGGCGATATACTTCATACAATCCCATGGAGTTCTCGATTGGAAAGTGCTCTCCAAGAGTAGTTCTACTTCAGGTACCGTAGTTGATCACCTGACGCCCGTCCCCACCTGACGCCCGAAAACCTCAATTTCACCGACTTTTTCGTCATCTT